CCGCTCTTAGTCTGACCTCGTCGGTCGGCCTCGAAGAGACGGCTTTTCTACTTTTGTAGAATTCTACAATAGGTTCAAACTATTGTTTTAAGTTCATTTGTAGTTTTTATAATTTTGGAGCAAACCTTTTCATTTCAGCTGTGTTTAAAACCACAGTTATAACTTAAATGTCTTGAAAGTTGTTAACCATGTTTAGCCCTGTTTTATCCTCAACAAATAAAGACCTTTCGACCTACGAATCATAAAAGCAATACTTACTGGGTTGTACAGTGTTCTTTAATAATTGGCACAAATCAAATACACAGACTTCATTTCTCCAATGAGATGAATTAAACATGACAACTCCACAATACTTTGACCATCCTCATGATTCAGCACACAGCTAACACTAAAATCATGCTTATGTGAACACGTTTACATTGCTAATACTTTATTTTATGTGTAGCAACAGACTATTGTGACTTGTTTCTGAATTTGACATTTTCTCTTTGCTCTTAGTCCAGACCCCCTCAGGAGTCATAACCAAAACCACTGAAGTGTGTTTACACAAGGAGGGAAACAGCTTTGGGTTTGTGATGAGAGGTAGGCAGATGTTTTCTTTTTTTTAGCTGTAGCTTTTAAGCAGTGATTTATACTTATTGTATTTTGGTATTTTAGGAGGCTTCCATGAAGACTGGCGCAGGTCTCGTCCTCTGGTAGTTACTTACATCAGACCCGGAGGTCCTGCTGACAGGTGAGGACATGGATATATATATGTAGCTATTTATGTGGCTTGTATACTCAAATTATTGTATATGTACATGCATGTCTCCACATTGTGTGTATACTGATTTAAAGCCCAGTGGATATGTGTTTTACTCATGACCTCATCTTCATCCTCAATGAAAGCATTAGTCTCTTAACCATATGCAGTAAAATTTTAAATGCAGGATTTAAAATCAGCACATGGTTATTTCTTTTGCATTTGTAAATGCTCTGATCACTGCATGAAACTGTGGCTGTGGCACATATAGAAAACATTATCTTCAAAGCAAAAGGGCACTGCTCATCCTGAGGCTAATGCGACATTGGACCTTCACCCATAAAATCTAAGAGTACCAAAATACTGGACCAAATATAATTCACCATCAAAGACTTTGCAGTCTTTTATCTAATTTATCCTTCATGTTACCTGGGAGGGAGCCATCGTGTGGAACTGTTTAATGAAGTACCTTGACTGGTGCTTAAATGCTCATATGACCATTGTTGTCTGTGTTTAATTTTATTCTCCTTCTCCTTTTGTGGTTCTTCAGAGACAGCACTTTGAGGGCTGGAGACCGAGTATTGAGCATAGATGGGATGCCTTTAAACAGAGAGAAGCACGCAGACGCTCTGACCATGCTGATGCAGAGCGGCCAGGAAGCTTTGTTCCTGATTGAGTATGATGTCTCTGTCATGGGTGAGCACACATACACACACACAGGGTGGAAGCATAGTAGGGCAGCATTGCTCTGAGGGTAAATAATGTGACTGTGTGGAGTGTCGGTGTTGGACCACACCAGGGGGGTTACACAGACCCGAGAGCACACTTCAGCAGGGAAGGGGTAGACGGGTGATATCACCTTTATTTGGCCAAGTATGTTAAATACACAAGGAATTTGTTTCTGGTGCAAAACCAAGGCAGCCATCATGTGCGCCAACTCACACCAGTGGTTCTAACCATCGGGTCAACTTGGGGGTTCATTGTCTTGCCCAAGGACACTTCGACATGTGGACTGCAGGCACCGGTTGGAGACGACCACTCTACCCACTGAACCACAGTCGCCCCATGATATGCTGTGTTTTCTCATCATGTGTGGGTCTCTCTCCTCTCCTGAATTGTAGCAGGCTTAAATTTTGTCTTGAAGTATATTACTTTTCTGTACCATAGTACAATACTGTGCAGGATCTAGTACTTGATTACATTTTTCAGGAACTTTCAGGAGCAGTCTTTGTTAGCAAGGATTTTCTATTGTATAGGTAATAGGCAGATATTTTGTTTTTATATGTAGCCCTACATATTTCAAGAGACAAGATGACTAACTTTCCAAGCAGTGTGGCACTCCAGTGACATAGTATTGCACTCCTAGAAAGTTGTGTGATTCAGCAGAGGCAGATTTATAAAGGAATGATTAAATCTGAGCAGCAGAGGCTGAAATATCCTGAGTTTTATTTCCTCTGATATATCAAGCCCCAAAAATGCTGGCTCCTGCATTTCCCAGATGGGAGTTTACCTGGCTAGCTTCGAAAACAAATTTATATAAATAATGGAAGTTCTACTTTCACCTCCTCTAGAAACAATCAAACATTCAAGGCAATAGACAGAGTGATAAAACATAATGGTCTAATAATCAAAATATCCCAGACATTTGGGCCAGAAAGCAGTAAAAGCCTGATTATAACATCCATTCAGTCGTGGTCACTACTTCTCAAGTTTGCACACTTTGCACCTGTCTCTGTAAAATAGGACAGGTCACCAAGGACAGTTGACACACATTTTCTTTCTGTGTGCAGACACTTAGGATTCAGACCTCCTGCCTCCAGACTGAACCCGTCAGGGGGAGTTGACAACCATAAGATATATTTTAGAACTGAAATCTGTAAAAACCCCAAAAGAAGTGTTTGGTTTACACTGGTTACAGGTTTCAGTTGCTTCAGCCCATTCTCAGAAACATTTGAAGCTATCATCAAAGACTTACATACCACCAGCAATGCACTTTATTTGTACTGCAAAAGATCATCAGTGACTGAAAACATTTTTAACTCCTCATTTGGAAGTAAATAACTTCATCATCGAGTTCATAACTGGATCCAAAATGGCAGGTCCCTTTATCATTGGTTAGGTTACTGTAAACATCTAAGGAACTGTGTTAAAATGACAGAAGACAAGAAAACTGATGACAATAAAAACAATAAAAACAATTTCTTTATGTAATTCTTTATTGAGACAGACATACAGTACAGTAACCCAGTAATGAAGTCAGATACTGTACCCTATACAGCCAACTGAATGAACTCATGTTATACAAACACCAGTTTTAACAGTGTCCATACTGTTGGTTTCTCATTACTGTAATGTTTGCCCTTCCCACAGTGAGAACCTTTTATATAACAGTAATGTAAAACAAAATGACTAAAATGAAAGTACAAGTACCACAGCTCTCAGTCCAACAAATTCACATGTTCATGATACCTACATAAAAACAATCTTTTTCACCTGGGGTGTAAATATCTTTGAGAAATAATGGCTGAGGAGTTCGAGAGCACTTTATAGAACCTGGATCCAGCTCCAGATTTACTTTGCATGCACAGTTTTTATTTCACTCAGCACAATAACAAAACAAATTTCAACTAGTTTTTTTTAGTATCAAAAGACCTAACTTCTTATTCAAGAACAGCCTATAGCTTCTTCTAATTACATTATTAACATCAGCTGATCATTTTATTACAGATTTAGGGATTATAATCACCAGATATGCACTAAACTACAGTGATTAATTACCCCCCTGTAGACATTCTAGTGGTGTGCAGAAGAGACTAACTAAACAGGAGACAGAAATGAAAAATTTGATAACTGTGCCTCAGTCAGAAAAACTATAACAGTGTAAATCTGTGCGCTCATCTGTGCCTGTTTTGGGGTCTTTTCATTGTTAGTTAAGATCGTAAAAAAGATGTATTGGTTTCTTGGTTTTAGATGCCTCTAGTAATTGTATTGGTCTCCAACCTATCTGTGTGCATGATCTGTTTCAGAGGCAGTGCAGCAGGCATCGGGCCCTCTGCTGGTGGAGATAGTGAAAGGTCCATCTGCCAGCCTGGGGATCAGCCTGACCACAACAATATACAGGAGCAAACAAGTTATTATTATTGACAAGATAAAACCTGCCAGCGTGGTGGAAAGGTAAAACCCCCTTTTATATTTTACTGCTCCACATCTATCAGAAACATCCCTGTCACAATCTGACTCTGTCTGGCTCTCTCAGGTGCGGAGCGCTGCACGTAGGTGATATCCTCCTGTCTATAGACGGGACCAGCGCAGAGCAATGCTCCCTGATGGAGGCCACACAGCTACTAGCGAGCACCTCAGATGCTGTCAAACTAGAAATTCTTCCAGCTAGTCAGAGCAGACTTCCTGTCAGGCCACAGGACACAGGTATTTTCTGCAAGTGACACAAAAAATGTCTATGTGAGACATTGCATCATGAAATGGAGAAGGATGTGGAGATACAGCACTCAACAGACACACTGAATAAGAATATATGCAATTATACATCATTTAAAACTCTTGCTATAACAATTTTTTCATGATTGATTTCCTTTTTCAACTACTCAGCTCCTGTGATGTCTTCAAACCGCTGAAGACATACACACAAACACTTTCCAAGCCTTTTCAGAAAAACACTTCTTCTGTCGGTTCAAAGTACAGCACAGGCATCACAGAATTACATCTCATCTTCCAAACCTTCATTTCAATAATGATTTGGTTCTTAAATAAAGCACTGTGACATTATGATAAGACAGTATTTTAACAGATTCCTTTTCCCCAAGGATAAGGCATGATTATACGATGCAATTTGTCCAATATCCTCTGGGGATTTAATAAGACTGATATGGCCACTGAGAGATTAGGAGTTAATGTTTCTTTCCACTAGCATGGATTGAAAACACCATTTCTCTGAGCACTCCCCCTGGGTGAGCTTAACATAAGCTGGCAGAGCCAGAGCTTTATAGGTTTGATGGAGTCCAACAGAAACTGGTTCACTAAAAAGGACCGCAGGTTCTCCTGCATGTATTCTGATTATATATGATCTGATTTAACCAGGTTCACTGAGTAAAGCAAACATCCCAGGCATTGCTGTAGTCACCCCAACAAATCCTCTATGCATGTTGTCAGAGATTAGACCCCATGCAAATGAAGCAGCAAGGATTACTGTCACATGTAATGTACAGTGACAAATTTAGCTGCATTAATCTGTAAAGGAAAGTTAATTACTGAGGTGTGGGGCATGCAGTAGGTCATTTGTTTCCCTTTGAATGATTCATAAATACAGGCTTGAAGCAGTAAGATGTCTTTCAGAATTAACATCTGCTTTCCACTTAAGCCAATAAAAACGTATAAAAAAAACATGAATACAAATATGCAAAAGATTCAAAACACTTAGACCAAACTGTCTCCCAGGCAGATGCTTAGACAGACATCATCAGCAATCAAGCTTTCAGCTGTTTCCAATCAAGGTCGAGCCACAAGCTTCCCAACAGCCTCTTTCACTTATTCATCATGCCCAGTGGTGAACTTACTCAGGCTGCTTTTGCACTTTCAGGCTCTTCTGAAAATAAAATGATCAAAATGAGCTTCAGTTTGCTCTCAGCTTTTTGGAAGCTTGCAAACAAAAGTAAGATTTTTTTTAAGGCCACTTCCCATTCATCAGCATGTGTAACTGATTCTCAGATCCTCATCAAAAGACATTAAACCACATTATTTAATCTAGTGTACCATGACGAAAACATTAAATATCAATTGCTCTTCTCTGAATTACCCTCCAGACATTATGTGGTGCTACAAATTTGGACACAGGAATGAAAATGTGACTTCATGGGTAGAATTTTTAAAACTGTGTACAACAAATTAGTGGATCTGGTTTACTTGATGGATGTGTTTACCTCCTTGATGCTGCAGTAAAGGTGCAGAAGAGCAACCATCATCACTGGGACCAAAGCAGCAACTACTGCCATGCCCCACATGGCAGCCACAGCAAGACATGGAGCAGCCCGAGCCACCCACACAACCAGCAGGACCTCTGCAAATGTAAGTTATCACATATGACAGCACTGCTGCTGGCGAGACACCGTAGCAGGACGAGCATTGCTTAAATCTTTTTCAGATGAGCTGAGAGGTTTATTCCCAACACCGCTTCCACATTTCTTTATTTGTTGCATGTTACAGTGAGTGTAGCCTGCTGATGTGGATGAAGTGTCAGGGTTATGTGGCTTTATTGTACCAGCCTTTTGATACAGATAGTGCTATGTCTTCTTTCAGCTCTGGTGAGTGGTGGCTTCTCCCCTTCCTCCACAGCCACCTCAGGCTTCAGCAGCCAGAGTAGCAACACGGTGCATTGTCCCATTCCTGCAGCTGCTCCCACCAGCCCACGTAGCTCGACTGGCAAAAGGAGGAACAGGAAGAAGGACCACAAGAGCTCACGTAGGACAAACTGCAAGCCTCTTCTTTTTTCTCATGTTAAAGCGTTGGTTCAACAAAATGACTGCATCTTCATTATTTTGTGGTACTTTTAAGGTTTGAGAGATTTTCAAACCAATGCCAGTTTATTAGGTACACCTAACTAAAGTTAATATTTCTGATGCCACTGTGTTTTGAATATTTCAATATCAAAGAGGGCAAAGGAGGTCGAAGGAGCCATGAGTTAAGATAAGACCATCTTTCACAAAAAGTCTTTTAATGGCCTGACATACCCCTTTATAAGAAGTCAGTGAGTCATTAGACACTGATTGGTCTGAGAGAAGTCCAGATCTCACCAGCATCATTTATATTAGTGTGTTCAGAAATATAATGGACTGACAGATTAAAGTGTATCACATCCAAGTTGGAGATTTTGTTTGTTTTCTAGATTCACTGTAGAATTCAAATGAGCATTTCTGTAGGTCAGATTCATAAAATAATCCCCCAAAACCTTTCTTTATTCATTTGAAGTATTTATTTTCCTTTTTATTTAATAATCTGACCGAAGATGTGAGTCTTTTTCTCATGTTAAAGCGTTGGTTCAACAAAATGACTGCATCTTCATTATTTTGTGGTACTTTTAAGGTTTGAGAGATTTTCAAACCAATGCCAGTTTATTAGGTACACCTAACTAAAGTTAATATTTCTGGTGCCACTGTGTTTTGAATATTTCAATATCAAAGAGGGCAAAGGAGGTCGAAGGAGCCATGAGTTAAGATAAGACCATCTTTCACAAAAAGTCTTTTAATGGCCTGACATACCCCTTTATAAGAAGTCAGTGAGTCATTAGACACTGATTGGTCTGAGAGAAGTCCAGATCTCACCAGCATCATTTATATTAGTGTGTTCAGAAATATAATGGACTGACAGATTAAAGTGTACCACATCCAAGTTGGAGATTTTATTTGTTTTCTAGATTCACTGTAGAATTCAAATGAGCGTTTCTGTAGGTCAGATTCATAAAATAATCCCCCAAAACCTTTCTTTATTCATTTGAAGTATTTATTTTCCTTTTTATTTAATAATCTGACCGAAGATGTGAGTCTGTCTGCTACACATCCTATTAGCACTGTCACTGTGGAAATGTTAGCATGGTTACAGGTGCATTTAGATCAAACCACCACTATATAGCCTCACGAAGAAGCTAGCATGGTGGTAGACTAACAGTTCGGTCTAATTAGAAATGTAGGCAATTAAATTGCTCAGTACCTTTATTCGTGGCATTGGTAGTTTTGGAAGTTTTGCAGCTAGTTTTGCAGCCTGCATTGCTGTTTTTGACATTTATGAAAGATAATTATAATTTCTTTAAGAATCCTTCACAGCTGAAAGCTTTTTGCGTAGTGGTTGAGTCATTTTTTTATTTGAGAGAAGTGATCCTTTACATATTGCTGCAGAGCTGTTAAAACACCATTCTTCTTGTTTTACCCCTTCCTGCATGAACAGATTTGACTGATTGCTGACATAAACATGTCAATGATGCTTTTTTTCATCTCCCACAATCCCTTTCTTGCTCTGTTTATCTTCCACATCTCTGCTAATATCTCTCTCTTATGTGTCCCTTCCCTCCCTCTCGTCCTCAGTTTCTCTGGCAGCTAGTTCTGTTGGCCCAGGGGGACAGGTTTTTCATGTGGAAACGAGCGAGATTGTCTTGAGGGGGGATCCACTCACAGGTTTTGGGATCCAGCTCCAGGGGGGTGTCTTTGCCACAGAAACTCTGTCTGCTCCCCCAGTCATTCGCTTTATCGAGCCAGACAGCCCAGCTGAGAGGTAACGCACTGAGACACCTAACAAGTAAACAAATATCATATAGTCACCGTGAACTAGAGGACCTTAGTGCTGCAGTCGCTCAAACTGGCAATGAAACACTACATGTGAAAAAAGTCTAATTTTAGCCTTGTGTCTAAATTACATTTTGTCTGAAGGCAGGAGCATTAGAGCTGTTTAATGCAGCAGTGATTCTCAAACTGGTGTTATGGTTCCACAAACTGAGTCAGAAGACTGAGGGCTGACAGGATCATTAAAATCAGAAAATAACATTCTGTCTGTTGTGCAAAATTATGCTTATTTTTTATGTCTTATTTAATCTTAAGTCAGTGATTAACATGGTGCTGTGGTTGTGGTGGATGTCAGCTCATCAGTGTATGTCATTAGAGGTGAGTGCTGCTCTGACTGAAGCCTCTCACCTCCTATAACCCAGTTAGATAGCATATTAATTAATTCTATTGCCACAGTAAAAACTGCCATTAAGCCTGCCACACTCTAGTCAACTCCATGCTGCTATCCTCATAAGCCTTCACTAAAACTGCGTCACATGTGGAGCCCTTTTTCATGGTGCGTACGGCATGTCATGAGGCCCAGCAGCAGTCATAGCTCTTTACTGCGCAAGTACTGTAGCTCCACTAATCCTACTAGAAGTTACCAATTATTTCTTAAAATTTCCACTCTCCAAGAACCTTTGAAGAATTCTTGAATGCTCTCCTTGTGTAAATTATGGCTACATTTGTGATTAATCAGAAATAGAGAAAGCCCAAGTCTCCTGAAGCACAAGGGCACCCTGTGAAGGTCTGGGTTTAGTTTAGCATTAGCAGATGTTAGCATGATCAAATGTTAGATTTATTACACATTATCCTTTGTGCATTCATGCAGTAAGTGCTTTGTAATGATGACACCCCCTTACACTGCTCCAGTATGTATTGTATTGATCCATACTATATGTTGCAGTCTAATTAACACACAGCTCTACTCATTATCTGCCCTTGTCTTGTAAGATTAATGGTGTTGTCTGTACTGGTAGCCCAGGGCCCCTGGTCTTATAACATGATTAGTCAAAAAGCATCTGGACAGTAGTGACTCAAGCACAGCATCCGACTGTGATGTTAGTGTCTCAGCCTCCACACAAGGTTAACGAGCAGCAGTGGTTATTGAATTAATGTTAGTTGACAGTGCTTCTCTATTTACCCTCACAGGGGTCTGATTAAATGTATGTGGGTTTTTATTTTATCCTGTTTGTGTGTTTTCTTGCTGAGGTATTTTTCAAGTTACAATAAAGTCAGTTTAAAATCTATTTGCCAGGTCTTGAGGTTACATTTCACTGTATGGATGGCATTTTAATCATTCAGACAATGGGATGTGGTGTTAAAGTTAATACACTATGTCACTGCTCAGAATAATTTTACTAAAAGGACAAATTCAAAACCTTGCAGACTCAAGTGTGAGAGATTGGAATGCTTTTTATTTTAATCACTCTTAATTCGTTGTCTTTGGGTTTTGAACTGTTGGTTGAATAAAACAAGAAAGTTAGGGAAGACAAGTTGGTTTTTGAAAAGAACCAAGTGAGACACTTAATTAGCATGTGTTTCATGGAGATCTCAATCTCAGTGACATCACACGAATAAATAAAGATTGACTGACTAATTTAAAGACTTTTCCTTGGGCTTTGGGGAAACTAATGACCAATTTTCACTTTGACATTTATCAGTTGATTAATGGTTTAATTGTATAAAAACTAACATTAAATGAATCGGTAATTAGAATCCTTTAGTTGCAACCTGAAAGTAATCCGGTTTGACAAGCTAACTTTTCTTTTTCATCCTGTTACACTTGCACCTAATTATGTTTCTTCAAAATATATTTGTTTTTAATATTATATGAACTCTTTATGGTAAAAATGACTTTTTTACCAGTTTAATATAGGTTTGTCTTGTGTATTTTTCTTTGTGAAGGTCCGGGCTCCTGCAGGTTGGAGACCGACTTCTGTTCATTAATGGGATCCCAACTGAAGATGGCACTCTGGAAGAAGCCCATCAGCTACTCAGAGACTCTGCTCTGGCCAATAAGGTCACAGTGGAGATTGAGTTTGATGTTGCAGGTAGGCTATCATAAAGAAAAGAATTTCATTGTGAGACAGTTGTACAGTCTTATCTTCCTGTGTGTATTTATCTTTATTTTAAATTTCAATCAGAGTCAGTTGTACCCAGCAGTGGCACCTTCCATGTTAAACTACCCAAGAGGAGAGGAGTGGAGCTGGGCATCACCATCAGTGGTGAGTTTGGTTGCAATGAGACAAACAGAAGGGGGCAGTGTTGCTCAATAATATTCCACAGATCTGCATATTGCAAATATTCTTTGAGTCAGTGTTCTGTGATCAATTAGACTTTCAAAAGTGTGAGGGCACATGACTCATTAACTCTGAATAATTGAGGCCTGTATTAGCATTCGTCATTACTCTCTATGCTCTAAGACACATGCAGGAAGCCAAGTATGACCACCGTAACAAAAAGTAAAGGATGTTAAGTGATTTAAATGTTTAGAGGTAGTGTTATCATGAATTTATGGATTTATCCTACATCCTAATTAAAAAAAAACACTTGAAATTTACTACTTCTTTTCCAGCAAGTAAAAAGCCTGGCAAGTCCCTCATCATCTCTGACATCAAAAAGGGAAGCATAGCACACAGGTATGTCCTGTCAGCATGCAGTGCTGATAATATTACTGACTAACATTTTGTTGTTCCAGCTCTAACAGCAACAAGTCTCTTTTTATTTCTTTCTTTATTCTTGTTTGGGGTTGATACAAAAGCATTCAGTGGCTTTCTGTTCTGGTGAATGTCACATTATTGACATAATTCTCAGCACTTCACAGTTCAGGGTAAACTAGAATTTCTCAGCTTATTTTTGATTATTAGTGAACAACATGCTGTAAAATTGTTTTGCAATTCCACTGTGTAATAGAAGACTAATTGGATTGAGCTATCAAATGTGCATCAGTAGGGCAGAGCAACTCCATTTCAGAAGAGCTCAGTGTTGAGTAGGTTGAAGGTGAGGTTACGGTCACCCCCACAGATCCCAATGAGACACCAGGCTAATAGGATTCTGACGGCTCCCTGGTCCCAGTTAATAGCTGTGATCCTCTTGCTCTTGTATTCGGTAGAACAGGCACTTTGGAGCCTGGAGACAGGCTGCTGGCCATCGACAATGTGCGTCTAGAGAACTGCTCCATGGAGGACGCCATGAAGGTGTTGCAGCAGGCAGAGGACATGGTCAAACTCCGAATCCAGAAGGATGAAGACAACATTGGTACATTAATCACCCAAAACACTAAATTTCAGTCTGGCATATAAGCAGTGGTGAAAAGTGATCAAGTACATTTATTCAAGTACAGTACTCAAGTATAAATGTGTCCTTTATTTGTCCATTTGTACAAGTAATTTTGTTTTCTCCAAAGATAGTTTTGTCTCCACAGGCATCATTATATCTCTTAAAAAGCATATGGGCGGAGTGGAGCAGTGAGAATTTCCACTCTTCACTCACTGAGCTGTTGCCTTCTGGGTTGGGTGTGGGCATGCTTCAAGCTTCTGGTGTGAGCGCTATGGAGCAAAACTGAATCAGGACATTGGACAACATTTCCTTCTTTTTAAAATAAAGCCACTCTACACTATGTCCAAAATCCACCTGCTCACACTTCTCACTTGCTCATGGTTCGCTCACATGCTCTGATCTCTCATAATCTTGGTTCTTATGCACGGTATCTACTGTGTCCTCATTTGCTTCAGATGAGTTGGAGATGTCAGGCTCCATAATCTACACAGTTGAGTTGAAGAGATACAACGGACCACTGGGCATCACAATTTCTGGCACAGAAGAGCCCTTTGACCCCATTGTCATTTCTGGCCTCACCAAGAAAGGTCTAGCAGAGAGGTGAGGTGTAGCAGCTCATGGATCAAGGTTTTTGAGAAGAAATTTACACTTAACATTAGGTTAGGACCAGTACAGTCTGTAGTGACTCTGTTTAAAAAATGTTTTTCCCAATAAGAGAGTAAACAATAACTGTCTGGCTTTTTTTCTATAACAAGAAGCCTCTTTATTTTTTGTTCAGGCAGCACACTGGCACCCTGACAGGTTTGCGCCCCACCCGTTGTACTGTCTGGTGTACTCTAGTGTTTGTCTCCTCTGCTCTCCTAACCCTGCAGGACCGGGGCCATCCATATAGGGGACAGAGTCCTGGCCATCAATGGGGTCAGTCTAAAAGGAAAGCCACTGAGTGAGGCCATCCACCTCCTGCAGATGGCTGGGGAAGCCGTCACCCTTAAGATCAAGAAACGAGCAGAACGTATGTTTGGTTTTGTCATAGCAGGTTGAAAAAAATAATTTTGTAAATGCAATTGCAGAAATGACTGACAATAATAGTTACATTATGACAACATTAGCATGTGTTTCATGGACCTAGGACATTATTTCTGATGAGCGGGTGCCCTTGATGAACCTTTTCTGAAACTTAATAGGGAGTGGAAGTGATGCAGTGTTTTACTGTAGTGTTTTAAAAGTGTCACAGTGCATTTCGTCATTTAATGCTCATATGAGTCACTGTTTGTTCCCAGAGTCCGATGGCCAACAGGCTCCAGACAGAGAAACTGGGTTTCTAAGTGATACAGAGGATGAACTGACAGAGTCCAGGAAGACCAGTAAACACTCCGAGATCTACTCGACCACTGTGCCCAGTATAGACTCTGCCATGAGCTCCTGGGATAGCTCGGGGTTTGACGCAGGCTACAGTAGCCAAGGTGAGGCCCAATGCATGTTCGCTGTCTTAGAAATGATTCATTTCTGATCTCATATCCGAGCTCATTGGATCTCTTTCTTGTCTTTCTTGTTTTTGTTTTGTTTGTCTTTGCTTGCTTTTTTTTTTTTTTTTTTTTTTTTAAGGGACATATCTTCACAAAGCATCTGATATCCTGCTCAATCCAAATGACTGGAGGCACACAAAGCACAGGAGCCAAACCAGTTCCAGCTCTTTTTGTTTTGTTGGTTTTTCTTTCTTTTTTTTTTTTTTTTTTTTTAAGGGACATATCTTCACAAAGCATCTGATATCCTGCTCAATCCAAATGACTGGAGGCACACAAAGCACAGGAGCCAAACCAGTTCCAGCTCTGCAGGTTTAGTCCACCACTCAGCGCTGTATGATGGGAGATTCACTGAGGATAAGTGGAATAAGACGCCCGGGTAAGTGCACAGGCCTGCATTTTCATCCTGGCAGTGTCTTCTCTTACATCAGAGCAGCTTTAAGTGCTTTTGATTTCAAAGCAGAGTTTTATTTTATTTAAATCATTGTGTGTGTATACATTGTGGTGATAAAGTTGCTAAGTTACTCGAGAACTGCATTTAAGTCAAATTTGCTTGAGTGTCTCCATTTAGTTATGAGAGCTATAGTTGTTTTTTTTATAAAAAGATTAAACCTGTCTTTCTCAACTTTCTTGGTTTGTGACCCACAAAAAGCAACTTTTGACTTGGGCCTTTGTCACAGGTTTCAGATGTCTGAGTTGTTAGCAGTCCATCGAAGAGACACTTCCCCTCTGAACTTTTCAGATGGCTTCATTTAAATAACTGTCCAAAGCCCAAACAGATCAAATAATTTATTTCACAGAAAGTCAAAGATTAGAGAAAAATGTAAAAAATAAAAATATGCATGCAACAACTCTACAGTATACAGTTAAAGTGGAGATTGTACTGCAGAGCGAGTACTTTAATTTGTAATACTTGAAGTGTATTTACTTTGGAATTCTGGACTTGTAATGGAGTATTCTTACATTCTTGTTCTGGTACTTTTACTGAAGTAAACCACTGTATAATTAAAAACTTCTTTCTTTTAATTTCTTTTTGATGTTTGACAAAATTCAACTGCACTAAATTACTTTTCTCTTCATTTTCTGTTTTGTGCCTTTCCCAACTGTGCTTTTCTCTTCTTTCTCAGGTATTCTCTCTCTCATCTGCTTTACTAAATGTCCCCAAGCTCTTTGGTGTTTCACATAGCTGTATCTTTTTCTGTCACCCCTTGTCCACCAAAAACATTTTCTCAGAAAGCACCTAAAGCTCCCAAGGATACATCAGCCTCATCTGTCTCCTCATACTCGGCTTCTGTTTTTGTCCCTGAACATCTGTCACATCCTTTCAATTTTGCTTTTTAATTTTTTGGGTGGCATTACTTTTGTAAAACTGAACACTTTTTAAAGTTTTATCCAATCTAGCGGACTCCTCAGTGTTGAGCTGCCACAAGAGAGAGAGTTTACAATAAACTCTCACTGTGGGCTTTCAAAGGGACTGTCCAGTGTGCAGCCCAAAAACTGCAATTCCCATGCTGCTTTTGTATGCAGCACCATCCTCCAGACCACAGCGCTGCTCTCATGTTGTGGTTCCTGCGTTGTCATAGATTCGTCAGCCATGGCACCCTGAACCAGGAGGACAGCTTCTGGTCCCAGGCTCTGCAGGACCTGGCGACCTGTGGCCAGTCAGAGATTCTCAGAAAGCTGGAGGTAGGTCCACCCCTCCTGCTTCTGTATCCTTTCCTCCTCCATCTGCTTTGTCCTGCTCACATATTCAAAGACTGTTGTTGGCCTAGATGAATATGCACAGTGAAACATTCCAGAGTGTAATCTGTTATTAAATTTGAGGAAGGTCTCTGTGTGCACTGCATGAATGATTATACAGTATGTGTGATGTGTTTTTGCTGGTTCAAATGGAAGTTGTTTTTTGTTTTTGTTTTTTTATATTCACAATACTCTCTTTAATCATCCCTTCATTTTATGCTCTATCAGGAATCCATGACAGGCAGCTCTCTCAGTCTGTACCTAGAGGAGACCAAGACCAGCGAAGACTCTGTGTTTCAGTCTGAAATTAGTCCCGTTAAGAGCGACGGAATCTGTGCTCAGTCTAAGAACAACAGCAACTTGAACTTGTCAACTGGGGCCAGACATGGACTATCCAGGGGCAAAGGGGACCCCTGCAATATTTTGTCCCCTACAACTCTGGCACTGCATAAGGTAGTTTAGTCACAGAGTGACTAAAAATTTTGCATTCATGTAATTTGTTTCAAAACAAAACTGATAATGTTTTACATTACAGTCTACATATTACAATGTAAACATTATTACACAAGTGGCACCACTGAAATACTTACTTGGTGCCCACAGGTGTGTACAATGGTGAGGAAAGCATCTGTGTTTAGGAGAGAAATAAAACTAAATTAAACTCTAAGTACTTTCTAAATTGCTTAACCAGCTTTGTAACTTTAAGGTTCCTTGTTTGCAGGTGACTATAAGGAAGGACCCTGAGAGCCATGACTTTGGTTTCAGTGTATCAGATGGGCTTCTGGACAAAGGTGTTTATGTCAACATGATCCGTCCAGATGGCCCAGCTGACCAAGCAGGCTTAAAACCTTTTGACCGCATTCTCCAGGTACTTATTAATTCCTTTTTTATTTTGTACAGGCCAATATCACAAATTACAAATTTGCCTCAAGGGGCTTTACAATCATTACAGCATGTGATGCCATAGACCATAGAACTGGATAAGGAAAAACTCTGTAATAAACCTTTAAAAAAAAGTGGGAGAAACCTCAAAAAGAGCAACAGAGTAGGGATTCCTCTTCCAAGATGGACAAACATGCAATAGATAGTCTTGTGTGGAGAGTAAATCAACATAAAAGATTTACAATAGCCTGGATAACCAGGATGACAGAACTGTATATTGCGCTACAGTATATGCATATATGGTCTTTAAATAAACTTTATAAAGAGTGTTGTCTAACTGGTTTTTACTGTTTGGTTTGTCTTTTTGATGTGTTATCAGTCACTGTGATGGACAGTCTCTACACAGAGTCCAGCTCTTAAAGTTTTTCATTGCTCTGGTGTCATTCTCGCTAAAAAAACTATTGCCATTAAAGCAATAAGCACATTTCCTAAAATGTCTTCCTATTGTTTCTAAAGAAATGTGACTGTAGTAACATGCTGAATGGTAAATGATTTAACTGATTCTAATCTTCCAGGTGAACCGTGTGCGGACCAGGGACTTGGACTGCTGTCTAACTGTGCCCCTAATCATGGATGCTGGAGGCAACCTGGACTTGGTCATTAGCAGGAATCCACAGGTGGCAGCAGACACCGGGCTATTTGACTGTGACAACCCCACAAACTCAATATTGTGCTTTCCTGAGCACAGGACCAATAGTATTGCCCTGTAATCACAAAGACAAACACTAGCTGGTGAAACACCATAGCACTGGGACCTGGGACACACGAGTCGCATACGGTTACATTTGTCACATGCACACACACACAGCATGTAGGCTTCCTCTCACAAACACAAGCATCCACTCTGACAGCAACTCTCACGCACAAAGTTACAAGTACATGTGTTCACTCTTGTTGGGTTTAGTCACTGTGTTCACAAGATGCAGTTCAGCTCACTCGAAGACTATTAACCCAGTTCTGTGAAGCGAATTTTTTCATTCTACAAAATAATGCACATGCAATGTTTTATACACAAAAAACTGACACACAGGGTGTTTGAGGACTCCGGGTTCAAGGCATGTTATGTTATTTCAGCCATCTTGGCTCACTGCCCTCGTTTCCAGTCTCTCCTCCACACTGCCCGCCCTAGAGAAGGGACAGTGCCTCCAAATAGACAGAATGCTCTCTGCTACTTGCCAAGTATCATTAACTATATTTTAAAGGTCCTTAAATCTTAATACCACAAATGCTTGTGGAGACATTGTACCCTTTCTCTTTGAAAGCAGATGTCCTTTGATGGCTGGATAGTTGGCATTGCTCCAGAGAGGCCCCACTGTTCACATACAATATGCAACATTTTGAATTTGGTCTAAGACACATTAACAAATTTGTTTTCGGTTTCACATTGTGCACATTGCATTAGCATACTACTCACATTTTTTTTTATCATAAGCTAAGACTTCAATTTTCCCTTTTTAATTTTTCACATTTTACTTCCACTGTATGAATCCGAGGCTCTGTGCTATATGCGGCATCACACCAGAATAAGTTTGTGGTCTGTCACTAATGCCTCCTTAAGAATAACATACTTTCCCAAGCAGAGGATGAAACGCCATTCACTTTACAGTGATGACTGATTTCACTCCTCATCTGACTAAAAGGCTCATTGGTTTGTTCTTCTCTGCAGTAGCTGTTTCCCTACCAGCTTCTCCGAGCATGTTTAAGCGTGTAAGGCTTGACCTCAGCAAGTAGCTCCTCTTTGACATAAAGAAATAGTGGAGTAATCCATGTTTACTCCCCTAAGAACTTTGAGTGCTCTCATTGTTTCTATAAAGCACTGTGTATAAATCTGGCTTCTCTGGAAATGAGAAGAATTTGTTTCATTTTCTTGTACTGGCTGATGCTATCGGTTATGTACTGTCTTAGTAGGAGTAGCCACAGAGACTGACTCCTACATGACTCATTCAATGTTTCTCATTCTGACTGCAGTCTTCTATGAAATGTCATGTTGCATACGGATACCTATTTTTAAGGGGTTTTTTTAAATTAATTTATTGCTTTGTACCTTTATTTTACTGTAATGCATGAGGACATGCAGTATTTTGTTTTTATTCACAGCACATACAGTACATATAAACTGTGATACTGAATGTAGAGCACAGTTTTTGGTTAAATTCCACATCTCTGAATATGTCTGGAGCCAGTTTAAAGGAACTTGGATTTATTGGATATTTTTATTTTTGTTATTTAATTTACTAAGAAATATTTCTTTTTATGAGATTAAAGTTATGAAACCATAGTTGGTTTGGCTCTGGTTTCTCAGCAGTGTATATAATTAGGCTGTCCCCAGAGAGGTTACTCATACTGACCCGGAACATGTGAACACTTAGGTGTAATGGAAAGTGTTACTGGAGATTCTCTATCACTTACTGTTGTGTCAGACTGAAATATCTCAACTATAGCCTTGAGAGCGTATTCATACATACAGTATATAATTTCCAGAGGATGAATTCTGACTACTGATCCACTGCCTTTTCCTCTAGTGGCACAAAAATGTTAAGACATTTCACTTAAAAAAAAAAAACAAAAAAAACAAATGTCAAAGTAACGACTGGGTGGATTGTGATGAAATTTGGTTCATACATTTGTGTTTCACTCAGGATGAACTGTAATAATGACGTTAGTAATCACCTGCCTTTTCACATAGAACCATCAGGTCAACATTTTATATTTATCCCTTAATCTGGTTTTATGACCAAATATTTGCACAGTCAACAAGTTTCCCATTAGTCTTAACTGTACTTTTGTGTTTATTTCTAATTAGCTCTTGGTAAACATGGTGTAAATTAGCTGCTAAATGTCATGCCATCTTCACATATTGTTTAAAGTATAGTGTCAAGCAGTCAAGTGGGGGAAAAAGCATTCATGTCAGCCTCTGACTTGTAATTCTGCAATCTAATTATTTGTTGTGACTTTAATGAACACCATTTCCCATAAACCCTAGATGCCTGCAGCCTAAATGTCACAGCTTGATGGAAGAAGTGAATCCATGTGGTGGCTAGCTCCCCCCACCCCCCTTGCCCTTTCCTCTCCGTAAGTAAAAACATTTGCAGTGTTATATAAAAGGAGAGTCAGCTTCTGACAGAGCCAGGATGTCAACACACAGGCCCCTCAGCTCTGGAGAGAGCCAAATGCTACACACAGGCACTGCCTAAATTTACTATCTTTTCCTTTAATGGGCTTCATCCAAAAATTTATATTATAGGCATCATAAAAGTATCTTTAAGGGAGAACAGTTGGACTGAAGTACATAGTGTCTCCATTTTGCAGGTATGATGAGGTATACAGGTAAATGTCTGCAGAAAACTGTTAACACAAAACCAAAGGAAAAATGTTTATTTCTAATCTACATATAAATGATGCAATGTGCATCTCAAAGGGGACTGGGAGAAAATTACTTTGGTACATTTGAATTTGTACATACTGCAGAAAACATTGAAATTTTATATTTAGCTGCACATTTTGTTATTGAACATGAACTTTTTTTTATTTGCTGATGCATTTTGTACAGTACAATGCCATTGCCTCAATCCATATTGCACTCTAAAAAATAGTAATCCAGACTTTCAATATATTCAGTATTTATAAAATGAAATGTTGAGCTTTGTGTAAAATAATTAATTAGTGATGGTGATCCTGTGATAAACAGTATAAAATTATTACAAAAACATATGTGATTTACAAACTATTCAGATTCTACATACAAATGTCCAAACCAAACATTAGAAATAACAGTCCAGTGGTAGTTTACTGAAATGAGCACAGGTTTACAAAAAAGTACTGTTTTTACTTGAAGTGGTATTCTCACAGAGCCTACTACTAATTAACCAGATTAACTGATGTCTGATTTCTACTCTATTTTGACATTAGCAAAGAGACGAAATGTTCTATTATATCAAAAATTTAGAAGCTAAAAACACTCCTTTATCAAATGTGTTATAAATGTATTGTAATACCTTGCAATAAATACAAATACTGCAGCAAAGGTGAAACCACATAAAGTGCGAAGAGACCTTTCAATAAATGCACTGGGAATTACTATAGTATTCACACAATTCACACAGCCAATGTACAACACATATTCTAAAATTGCCACTTCCCTTTCTCATTTTTAAAGAGAATAATTTTATTCTTAATATGTGCTGGAGTATGGATCGGGCCAGGTACTTTTGTCTGAACCCATCTTGTGCCCAATACAGTTTATATGATGTTTTCCCCCTTTTCATTAAACAAAGCAGACATTTGAGGGTTCTACCTGTTTAACGTTTGACACGTGATCAAACCCGACCTGGACCCAAACATAATATCTAAATTTCCGTCTGAACCCAGCATGAACCGATGGGTCCAGTCGGGCTTGCTTTGCGTGTCCACTCTTTGAGTCTATGCCCCAGACTGGCCATCTTTTCAAAAATCTTCTAGACCCACCCCTGGAGGTTAATTTGTTGTTTCACTGAATTGATGAAAAATTCCACCATCTCTCCATAAACAACAAAATCAATTCCAACTACAACAACAATATTGATACAGTATAATAATAAAAAATACAACAGTACTGTATAACTCTCTTCATAGAAATCAAACCATCATTTCTCTAATGTGAATATATTGGAAAATGAAAACTTACCACTATTAAAGTTAGCAAATAATGAAAACAGAAAGCACATCAGTTTTATTCCTTTCACACAAAGTGCTCACATTATTGTTTCTACAACAGTGTGGGTGGGCTTAATTAAACCTTTGTTTTCATTTGGGTCCAGGGGCTGTGTCAGCTCATTGCCTTTCACGTTGTTCTCTTTCGGGCGAGAGCTCACACCTGACTGTGCCGGAGCTGCCACTGCTTTGATCCTCTGAGGGAAGTAAAAGAGAGATAATCATAACTGGGGCAGTTCAGGTCTCAGTGTCCGGTATCTAATTTAAAAGTCATTTTTAAATTAAAGGAATAGTTAACTGTTTTAGGGAATATGCTGCTTTCTTTCCATGAGATGAGAAGATCAATGGCGCTTTTATACTTTTTTTGTACAGATTAAACAAACATGTAATGTGTTAAATGGTAAGCTTCTTTTACTAAAGGTTTGTTGCCAAAATAAACTATTTCTTTATAGCTACTGAAAGGCTGTGTCAACTGACCTCAATCAGGGATCCATCAGACTGTAAGATCTTGATGACCATCACCATGGGGATGCAGATCATGGAGCCCAGGGCCAAACACCAGCCTAGGCCGATGGCCCAGTCAGGGTACTGATAGACCTTGTTGTATCTTAAGGGTTTGTACTTCACCAGGGAGAAGACAAAGCAACCCTGGGGAACAAACACATGCTGTGTTTACTACAAGCCGTACATCCCCCTAAGACCTTGAAATTCAGGTGATCAACATTTGTGACATTATGGACAACATCCTTGAAACCTCCAACACAATAAAGTGCCACTGTGATCTCTCACCACGCAGAGGACGGGTGTGATTATGGTCCAGCTCCATTTCATCCATGGGTTTGGTCTGTAGCCAATCATATCCTCAATTCCATCATAGAAGTTATCAGCTCCTATTCAACACAAAGAGAATACAGAATAACTTGTGTTTTGGTGTTAAGTTTGCTAGTATTAGGAGTACTGTAGAATAAATAGTCAGCCTACAAGCCTTATTTGCTATTGCAGAGTGACCATATCTACACATCTACCTTTAGCAGGTTTATGAGTCCTTTATCTCTGTTGACTGACTGACTTTCCTCCTCCACAAAAAAAAAAAAGTGAAGTGCTTCTATTGTTCTGGGTGATTCAGTGGCATTATCACAGGCAATCAGCAGGCAACATTTTGAATAGAAGGGCCTTTTTGTGTGTATAGCATAATTACAGTGGTTTCACGTATTATGGCAAATGAATGATTTAATGCAATTAAGAATAATCAGATGGTTTCATGCAAACGTTTCTATTAAACTGGTTGGAAGATGCAGTGTTTCTTTCACTTCACTTGTTTTTTCACATTAGGCTGAATATTCTTGCTTCAATAATAAAGGTCTGAAGTAATCTGGTGGGAGGCAGCCCTGAATGGCCAATCACAGTCCACCAAGACTAGTACCAAGCTCACCCCACTGTAACATCGTCATGCCCCTGCATGCAGTTAACAAACATTATTTACTATTAATGTGGAAAGAACCACAAGGAAACCTTTGTTAACACCCCAGATATCATTTGTGCTTTTTTTCAACTGGCATGCAGAAACCTATCACATAGAGTTGTTGCCACTTACCATAAACCCAGGCTACAGCAATGCATTCAAAAAACGCAACCCACAAAAGGCACACACCACTGGCTGCATAGTAGTCAAAGAGTTGAAACACATACATGCCACCCTGTCATACAAAAAGACAGAAAGTTGCATTAATTATCTCCCTGGTGTGTATGGAAAGAAAAGGGGCATTAAGACAGAGAATGTTAAAAGTAGTGCAAAAGAATACTGGCAGTCTACCACCAGAAACAGAATTCAACAGGTGCCAAGATGTCACTGACAGCCAAATGGAAACAGCATTCTGAATCGTTCTATTCAGACATACAGGATGTGATTTGTGAACATGGTAGGAAGCTATATTTGGTTGTAACAATGAAGCAGCTGACAGGCAAGTGGAAAGTCTGTGGCGTTATCTCTTCTATTGATTCAAATATGCCAAGTCTCTTTTCCTTTTCTAAACAGGATAGGCTGACGTAAGAGTGCAGAGGCTCAATAAAGAGACTGTTGGTGAACTTACTTTTGTTACCATGGTAAGTCCCAGGATACAGCTTATGAAACACATCACGGCTATGAAGATCTCTCGCCGATAACCCTTCCTGAGGAAGGATGGATACAGATCCACAATAGAGGTGATCTGTCCTTCCACTTCAACAAACTGTGGGGACAAAAACAACTATTAAGTTGTCAGAAGAAGAAAAAACCTGTCTCTTTCTGTGACCATGCAGCCCTTGTTTTGCTTCAATAAACCAGTGATTAAAGAATGAGAGCTGTCTTTGTTGGGCTGTAATGAGAATTTTAAAAAGGCTCCTTTCTGCAACACTAGTTTGTTGCTCTCTGGACAGAACAGAAACAAAACAACAGTGAATCACTGTCTCCCTGTCTGTGCCTCTCTCAATCCCCTGTGTCTCCTCATTGCCTTATAAATAACATACTGCCAAAACAAAATTATAAAATTATTCCTATTTATCACAGTGCACCAAGAACATGCTCCCTTGTTACAAAAAGCCCTTACATAACAGTGGCTTGTATGTGTGAGCGGTGTTAACAATATACTGCATTCAGGGCTACAGATCTGCATGACGTTTATGGCCAAAAATGCAGCCCCACACACATACAGACACACATACTGTCAGTGGGACTGTTTTGAAATAGCTCGCATGAGTATTACCATACTCAAATGTAGATCATCTGCCTGATCTCACAGTCGGCTGAGATGCAATTGGCCATGTGCAGAACAGAGTTAGCACAAGAGTAGAATTACACTTGGAGGCAGGAAATGTGATATATCTGCATAATCCCTCGAGTGTACACTTGTGTTTTGTCTGCTTAGATTATTTTATCTTGATCAAAGCTCTGCTTCCTATCAAAGCAAAAAAAAAAAAAGCTTGCAAGATAGATGTTTGACATGGACCAGAGAGAAACTAAATGTGTTTCACACATTGAGGTTGGCAGGAGCCAACTTACCCTTGGGACCTGGGATGTGTCCTTGTGAGACTAATGGGCACTACACCAAACAACTTTTCTGTAAATAGCTTGACAACAGAATCTTTGTGAAGATGCTGACCTGGCTGTCAAGGCCCAGAAGCAGAAGCATGATAAAGAAGAAGATGGCCCAAAGGGTTGGCAGTGGCATCATGGACACAGCTTTAGGGTAGGCAATGAAAGCCAAGCCAGGACCTATAAAGACAGCAGGTTGGGGATAGGGAGAAGGGGTAGAGGACATAATTAACATTTCTATCTGATTTCAGCTTGGATGTCACACTGTGAGGGGATCAGAAAAATCATGTAAACATTGAGCTAGAGAGGCAGAGCAGGGTCTGACAGTGAGCATTTTGTCTCCTTTATCCTGTACATATTACATACCTGTCGACTGTCTACAGCATAACCAGACCATTATACTGCACATACTACTGTACTTCTAGGTTCTGTTCATACTAAATATACAGATTCAAGGTCTTTTCACACCAAGTGACATGAATAAACACTACGAAATAGCAAAGTTTTTCTGAGGCGATTTAAACGCACTGTGTATATTCACACCAAACAAATATGGAATATGTACTTCTAAATTATCACACTATAAACCCCCTATCAAGTGATGAATACCTGCAGGTGCTGGTTCTGCTAAATACAAGGAGTTTAAAAAGAAGCAAGCTGGTGTCACGTGTTCCTGTCACCAGCAAAAGTAGTAAGAAAATCACATACAAACATTTGCCTCTGGTGTGTAAAGAACTTCAGAGCTGCTTTATTTTGAAGGCTATACTGTTTTCTGATTACAGCAATATCCCTTTTTCGTGTACTACACCACTGGTTTGGAGTTTATTTTGTCATTTTATTTTTTATACACTCATTGGCCACTTTATTAGGGACACCTGTACAATTGTATGAAATTCAGTGCTACACTTCTGCCTTATCATCTGTGTTTATGAGACTCAAAATGCTTAAGTTTTTGGTGAAATTGTTATAAATGTATAAATTCAATTATTCAGAGGTGTTCCTAATATTTTGACCTTCTCATATATGTAGCTGGGGAGGACAGAAATATAGAGTTGCATGTAATTGCACAGGGGTACCTACTGTAATACAGTGACCGGTGAGAGTAGATCTAGATGCATGTCACTAATGCTGCCTTTGCCTTATCTGGTAAGATGCTAAACAGCATTTTGTTGCACTAATACAAAATGAGCAAGAAGGAATCTTATTTAATCTAAACAAAGAAGATGAGAATTTCAGCATAGTCATGAACTAATTCAACAAAATGTAATAAGAACATGTAACATGCACTAAAGTCAGCAATCACATAAAATAGTTCCTCACTTAAACAAGCTGAGTTTGATAACTTCTCTTTGAAAAATGTGCTTTTATTAATAATTTTGGTTCTGTGCTTTCTGTATGACGGATTACCTTGTATGAACATACTAACATGCCACAGAATTACTGTCATTGTCATACAATTGTAGGTTGACTTCACATGATTACATAATTATATCCAAGTTGCAGCCTTAAAGATAGCAGTGTTTAATTTTAACTGAACAGAGTAAGCATTCTGAAAGAAGACATCTTTTTCAGAGTGAACACAGAGTATACCAGGAAGGCAGAAACAGAACCGAAGGTGTCCCCCTCAATCAGGAGATCCACAGCTTGTTAACAGAACTGGATTTATAATGCAGTGCAGAACTATCACCTCAGGGTGCCAGTGCACATACTGTGGAGTATGTACAGAAGAATGCCACTCTTCTCAGCAGTGTCCCCTGGTCAAAAAAGTATGAAGTTACTAAAGGGCAAGAGCAGGTTGCATGTGGGACATGACAACACCTGGTGCCATTGAACACCTCTAACAATGATGTTTGTCCAATGCAGCAACTCTGTAGTACCACAGTTCATTGTATACTAGAGCTAAAACACACAGCACCTGACCAATGCGATGTAATCTGTCCACAGAAAAGGTCTTCATTCACACTGCAGTAACAATTCTGTTTCTTTGAGGCTTTTGTTCAAGGAGTGTGCAATTGCCGATAGCTCTGCATTTCAGCATCATTGTTTCTAAGACTGGCATGAATACTTCCTTTTCCCTCATTTAACAGTTATTTTTGGTTTTAGGGTTTTAAGCTGCCAATTGTTTTTTTTTTTTTTGTTTAGTTTTTTTGATGACAGCAGCACCCACCATCACTGCTGCCTTCACCTCGTACCTGACTCTGCCACATCGGCAATGTCCACCCCTTGTTCTTGTGCCATGAAGCCCAGGACGGAAAATATTGCGAAGCCAGACACAAAACTGGTACCACTGTTGAGGGCTCCCAGCAGCAAACAGTCCCTATGTCACACATATGTCATGGAGGTTGTTAATGAACACAGGCAGAACCGAAGTTCCCATTTTCTTTTCACGCAACCATCTCTGACACGAGTTGCTGCCACTACTACAGTCTCACCCCCCATCCCCACACCCCGGCGGAAACACAACCCACCTGTAGCAGTTGTATTTGTAATTGTTGTAGCTCCCCAGTGACGTCATGGCTCCCAGGCAAATGGCATAGGAGAAGAAAATCTGGGTTCCTGCATCAATCCACACCTGGGGAGACAGAAATGGTTGCTGATTTTTAGTGTTTTCCATATTAGATGAGGTAAACTTGCAATAACTGCTTTGCCTACTTCTGATAAACAGAAATATGCTGTGAACTCAACATTGACATACAGTGCCTTTTATGATATGGTGAACATGTTAGCATACAGCTGGTTATTTTGCTACCCTATAGATATGGAGCAGCATTCAGAGTTGGTGTTTCTGGCTGCTATATAAATATGTTTACAGTAATGTTTTGTTATTGTCTGTCTGTTGCTCAGGGTTGAGTCTGTAAGTGGGTCTTCACTGAAAACAGTTGCCTTTGTGGCCAAAACAACATTGATGAGAGCAGTGGAAATTAACCAAAACAGAGCTGAAAGACACTTGAACGCTCCATAGAGCTGAAGGGAACAGCAGAGATGGGTGAGCAGTTTTTTTTTGAAAATTTATGAATATCATGTACAGTGCCTTGCGAAAGTATTCGGCCCCCTTGAACTTTGCGACCTTTTGCCACATTTCAGGCTTCAAACATAAAGATATAAGACTGTAATTTTTTGTGAAGAATCAACAACAAGTGGGACACAATCATGAAGTGGAACGAAATTTATTGGATATTTCAAACTTTTTTAACAAATAAAAAACTGAATAATTGGGCGTGCAAAATTATTCAGCCCCTTTACTTTCAGTGCAGCAAACTCTCTCCAGAAGTTCAGTGAGGATCTCTGAATGATCCAATGTTGACCTAAATGACTAATGATGATAAATAGAATCCACCTGTGTGTAATCAAGTCTCCGTATAAATGCACCTGCACTGTGATAGTCTCAGAGGTCTGTTTAAAGCGCAGAGAGCATCATGAAGAACAAGGAACACACCAGGCAGGTCCGAGATACTGTTGTGGAGAAGTTTAAAGCCGGATTTGGATACAAAAAGATTTCCCAAGCTTTAAACATCCCAAGGAGCACTGTGCAAGCGATAATATTGAAATGGAAGGAGTATCAGACCACTGCAAATCTACCAAGACCTGGCCGTCCCTCTAAACTTTCAGCTCATACAAGGAGAAGACTGATCAGAGATGCAGCCAAGAGGCCCATGATCACTCTGGATGAACTGCAGAGATCTACAGCTGAGGTGGGAGACTCTGTCCATAGGACAACAATCAGTCGTATACTGCACAAATCTGGCCTTTATGGAAGAGTGGCAAGAAGAAAGCCATTTCTTAAAGATATCCATAAAAAGTGTCGTTTAAAGTTTGCCACAAGCCACCTGGGAGACACACCAAACATGTGGAAGAAGGTGCTCTGGTCAGATGAAACCAACATCGAACTTTTTGGCAACAATGCAAAACGTTATGTTTGGCGTAAAAGCAACACAGCTCATCACCCTGAACACACCATCCCCATTGTCAAACATGGTGGTGGCAGCATCCTGGTTTGGGCCTGCTTTTCTTCAGCAGGGACAGGGAAGATGGTTAAACTTGATGGGAAGATGGATGGAGCCAAATACAGGACCATTCTGGAAGGAAACCTGATGGAGTCTGCAAAAGACCTGAGACTGGGGCGGAGATTTGTCTTCCAACAAGACACTGATCCAAAACATAAAGCAAAATCTACAATGGAATGGTTCCCAAATAAACATATCCAGGTGTTAGAATGGCCAAGTCAAAGTCCAGACCTGAATCCAATCGAGAATCTGTGGAAAGAACTGAAAACTGCTGTTCACAAATGCTCTCCATCCAACCTCACTGAGCTCGAGCTGTTTTGCAAGGAGGCATGGGCAAAAATTTCAGTCTCTCGATGTGCAAAACTGATAGAGACATACCCCAAGTGACTTACAGCTGTAATCGCAGCAAAAGGTGGCGCTACAAAGTATTAACTTAAGGGGGCTGAATAATTTTGCACGCCCAATTTTTCAGTTTTTTATTTGTTAAAAAAGTTTGAAATATCCAATAAATTTCGTTCCACTTCATGATTGTGTCCCACTTGTTGTTGACTCTTCACAAAAAATTACAGTTTTATATCTTTATGTTTGAAGCCTGAAATGTGGCAAAAGGTCACAAAGTTCAAGGGGGCCGAATACTTTCGCAAGGCACTGTACTCTATTAAGAATAGTAAATGATTTCACTCTGATGGCAAAATTACTTTGGTAAATATTTGGGCCACATATTTGTCTTGCATCTGGCCCAAAATACACTCAGTTTTCAGCCTGAGTTTCAACCCAAACGGTGAAGTATATGAGCCAGAATGGGTCAGGGACCCAGGCGTATATTAGACCAGAAGACAACTACATTCAGTCTTTTCTTGTTTCTTCTCTTAATACCTGGAGAAAGAAATTGGAGAAGAATAGTTTTTGATCCTACCTCTGGATCCTTTAGGCGGGTCAGGTTAGGGTAAAGGTAAAATTTGATCCCTTCAGCTGCTCCAGGAAGGGTCACTCCACGTATCAATAGCACAACCAGCATCACAAATGGGAAGGTCGCTGTTATGTACACCACCTAGAGTGGACAAAGGAATTATTAGCCAAAATATGGAGCAACAATCTTCAGATATAATTAATGCTGTCAATCGATTAAAAAATGTAATCGAGTTATTCACCAGTCATACGCTGTGATTAATCACAATTAATAGCAGTTTTTAATTACTAGGATTTAATTGTATTATAAGCATGTGCAGTGTTGGAATAAAGAAATGCATGACAAACTGGTTAGAGGAAACAGAGATTCTTCAGTTTTATTAACATCTCAAACAATAAAACTGCATTAACTAAGACTTAGCACAAATTCAGATAAATCAAGTAAAAAACTGTCTAGAAGTGTTTTCTCCCTGCTGTACTAAACCCCCCAGCCCACTTTGCTATTTTCAGGCCTTGTGTTTATTTGTTGCCCTCTGTGGCCAATGTTGTTCAAATCTGCACCACACTTCTTCCATACCCCCACTGAGCCGAGGTTATGAGATATGTTTTTCAAGCCAGTATGACTCATTTCAAAGACATATTGACCTGTGCAGGTACAACCCAGGATGGGAGTGGACCTGTTAGACCCAAGAGCCCATGCTCGGTAGCACAGAAGGAGTGCGACAAAGAATGAGGCAAAGCCAGGGTTAACAGTGGTTTGGTATGTCGGAGATGGAGAGCACTAAAAGCATCCAAAGGACAAAAATTTGATGCAGATGTGGCTTGCTTCCTGCTAGACATTCAAGTGCTGTAGCTGCCTAATGTGTATATGTCTCCATCATTAGCAAGTTAACGTTAGCATTTAAATTTTGTACCTTTGTATAGAATTATTCTGGCTGTAATTTCATTCCAACTGACTGCAACATTAGTGTTTTATTGTCCAATTAGTGGAAACCAGCGCGTTTTCCTGGAATACCAAATGAAGTAATTTTGATCATTTTTGCTCGGTTGTGGTCTAGTTTACGTCAGACATAACAATGTAGTCCATGTAGCACTTTAGTGAAAAGCTTTTAAAATCTAATCCATCAATAAAACTAGAAAAGTGGGGAGTTGTACAGCTATCAAAGTGTAACATGGAATTTTTCTTGTTTCACATACAGCTCACAGTTATGTATGTCACGTATGTAACAATGAACATGATACTATAATGGCTGTAACATTAGTGCTGTATCAATATTACTAGGAAAAAAACATTCCTCTGTGTAATTTGCGTGTGTTACTGCAGATACATCCACTACAAATAACGTTATACATACATACATATATTGCTAAAATGTAAACCTCCTTATTTGATATTGTGTAGCCGCAATGCCACCAAAAACCACGGGCTCTATAATCCGTATATGTTAGGTCTGGAGCTGGTTATTACTGCTGCACTATCTGACTGCCACAACTGTTTTCTGCTGTTGTGACCACATATGATGTAGTTTCAGAGACAGGGCAAGAAGGGCAAGGAGGAGCAGGGGAAGAAAAGGAGGAGATACTGCTTGAGTTTGTTTTGACTTTGACTTTGACTTTGCCCTTAACAGTTGAAAATTAAAAAGACAATTAATGCAGCTTTAACATGAACAAATGTTAAATTAAAATCTCTTCATTTGCTGAGTACAAAAGTCTCAGGGAGTGTTTGGCATTGGCCAAAACTTTCATATTAACTGCAGACATAATTAGCAAACACCCACATAAAGAACTGTTACAAAGTAATTTCTGCTACAAAGTCACAAGCAGCTTGCCTGTAAATTGTTTGCATACTGTGCATAGTAGATTGCATAGTAACACCAGTTCAATTTAATGCAACAATGAGTAGACCTATTTTAGAAACTGAATGCCATAGTGTCTTTGAAGACACAAAGCGAACAGTCTCTTTCTACACGCTTGGTTAAAGATGATTACTTCAAACAGTGTGCATCTGTGCAACATGCCTCCAGTCAACCAGTCATACAGTCTACTCTTCTTTTAACCAGATGCTCAGGCAGACTAGCTTGTTGCCATTTTCAGATGATATAACTGACCTCTTCCTTTGTGCAATGTGGCCTGCCAAAGAGAACAGTAAACAACATTTTATTATTAGCATTTGATGTGGCCTTATCACACACAGCCAGGTAACCATGCATGCTGCGATTATGGGAAGAGGTTGGGGTCAAACTTGGTCATGTGATTCATTTGGGTAAAAAAAAATTGTAACGTGTTAAAATTTCTAGATGAATTGCATGTGTTAAAGTATTAACATAGACAGCCCCTGACATAATAAACACTATTTTATTTCATAGTTCTCTTTTTCCAACTGCAGCTCTTGTTATGGCCGGGTCTGTGAACCCAGATGCACACTGTGTACAGAAATCATGATTATTGTTTAGGGTTAGGTGCAGGCCCAGTAAAGCATGAAGCAATTTTTATATTGTACAAAGGCTTTTTACTTTCTGAACTGCTATCTGGTTAAGAATTAAATGTGATCATCTGCACTAAACATCAAATTAATCCCACTTATTGATCTCAATACGATTAATTATTTTCTGCACAGACCTTTTCTCACTGGTTCTGGCCCAGTTTCTGTCTCGCTGACAGAAACAGAGGCTATCAACTATTTACAGCTGACAGAGAGTCTGGCCAAGAAGTAACTCCCAAGACAACACAGAGGCAACTAAACTAACCCCATTTCCAAGCATGTGAGGTTTCTCTCAGCAACAGTGTTTCATCACTAACTTGTTGGAGTAAAAAGTGAAGCCCACACAACACCTGGGTAACACAATACATTCAGGTCGTGCCTACACCTGGGCACTCACTTTCCCAGTTGACCTGACTCCTTTCCAGATGCAGAAGAAGCAGATAACCCACACTGCTAGGAGACACAGGGCGAGATCCCACTTCAAGGGCCCGATGTCCTCGATCCCAGAGGAGATGCTCAGGACATTGAGTCTGCAGAGGATAGAGGCACCGAACAGGTTCATGGCAGTTTGTGGAGCTTGAAACCTATCTTGCAATTTTCAAACACATCCAAGAAATAATGTTGTGCAACAATCCGAGACCTTGACCATGGAAGGACTAATTAACAGGACAATAAAAGTAGAAATCAAACAGCCACATGTCTTGGCCTTTCTGTACTGCTCTGTCTTTTCCAGGGACAGAATATACTAAAATGGTGACACGGCTAGTTGGAAAAGATATAAAGCTGGTGCCTTTAAGTGTCTGGTGCTATATAAACACTTGTAATTTAGTTGTTATGAACCTTAAACTTATAACAAAGTCAATGGGCAAGAAAAAAATTACATTTACATTTGGTATTCCAGTTTAGTTTGACAACTACATTCAAACTTTGAGCTGCATTTAACATATGAAAGGTGCAGTACAAATAAAGTGTATATTTTAATACACAGCTTAAGTGTTTTAACTTGACCTTTTGTAGGAACTGTGCAAGGACACATTTACACAAGCACAATAAAGAAGCAGTGTTACTTTGGCATGTTGATGTGAGTAGGTATGCGTGTCAGTGATTACTCACTCCCAGAACTCGGTGACAGGGGAGGTAAAGTTGGTAACATTGGATGCCAGCCAGAGGGTCATATTCTTGCGGACTGTGTCCTCCACGCAGCGCTCCGTGTTCCAGGGCTGCTTGCATTTTGCCCAGGGAAGCTCCACCTGGAAGGACTGAAACAAGTAGTAGAGTCCCCAGGCCAAGATCACGATGTAGTAGATGTTTAGCAGAGATACTATTACAATTGAGGCATAGCCAATACCTGAAAGACAGAAGGCAGATTGATAGCATGGTTTAAACCTATAATAATTTATTTTCATCCCTTGGGAGCAGCTGTAAACAAAACACTGACAGAGAGTTTTATCATCTTGTAGGTTTCAACTTGTTGCAGTGATGTAGAAGTGTACTCTAGCATGCACTGTGAGATGCAATGGAGCGCACTTCTGACCACACTCAGCCACACCCATCAGTGGTACTGACTGCAGTCACAAATGCAACAGACTTGCAACTTAACCAGAGAAGGCACTAAAACATTTGATTTGATTTGATTTATTCTTTCAAGCATGTAAAGACAGTTGATATGTAAACACACATAATTGTACACATATCCAACAAATGCTAATCCAATAACAATTTGCTTATACCTAGTACATGCTTGAATGGAGTAGGAAGAAGTCAGACTTATCCAGTCCTACCCCCATGACATCATCTTACATCATTGGTTTGCAAGCAGTATCTCTACATAGATAATTATCTTCTACACCACACAAGTAATATACTAAAGAATTATTACAGAGTGTTAACATTCTTACACCACACCCACAATGTTCCATCTGGTTAATCATTAAACCTGTTCTTGCATATATCTTGATTGACACATACCTTTATATTTATGTTTAAACTCGTCAATTCTATTACTATTTTTTATGTCCACACTTCAATTATTCCATAGTTTTACCCCACTTATGGAAATACAAAATCTTTTTTTGGTTGTACGGATAGCATGAATTTTTAAATTAGACTGACCCCTTAAATTATATCCCCCTTCCCTTTCATTAAATAGTTTTTGAATTCCACCAGGTAATAAATTGTTCCTGGCTTTATACATAAACACAGCAGTCTTATATCCCACTATATCCAAAAATTTTAACAATTTAGACTGTATGAAAGCTCCAATGGTGTGATCCCTGTACCCCATCTTATGCACAATTCTTATCGCTCTTTTTTGTAATATATACAATGGTTGAAGTGAGCTTTTGTATGTGTTTACATTTATTTTTCAGCCTAAATTACTCCTTAAATGAGGACTTGATATAAACAGCTGCTTAAGTGAGGATGAGGACTGCTGCCAAACAAGAAAATTTCCTCAGCTTGATTCTAATATCTAATGTTTTAATGGCCGTAGTGTTTTTATGCTACTCCTAACTGACTTTGCCTCTTCTGCTCCAGAGTATTTTTAAACTCATCGTCTCTGTTGGCCCCACCTCCTCATTCCCACATACCGAATGCAAACTGATAAGACAACTCAGTGCTGAGACAGGTGTGTGTGTGTGGTGCATGCACACACGTGCCTGGTATTACTCATATTCTGGGCAGTGAAACCTGTTTACACACTGTGGAGACTTTTCTTCAATGTGGGGACCAGTCATTGAAGTCTAGAGGAACAACTTGAGTTAAGTTAAGGTTAGGATAAGGCAAGTAGTGGTTATGATTAACGTTAGGCTAAGTCTCCAAGGAATGAATTTAAGTCAATGTAAAGTTCCCATGACGAATGACAAACAAAAGTCTGTATGTGTGTGTATCTACTCAACTCTGTGCTAGTGAGCAGTGAATTAAGTCATGAATTCACTGAAAGTAGGGGGAACAATGGCAAGATTAGCAAGTGGCCAGTTTAGTTGGCACTGCCAGACACTGCTCCAGATAAACAGACAGCATCCTCAACATTCCTTGAAAAGCAGAGACCATCAGAAGCAGCTAGAGATCTGGTGCTGCACAGTTTCCGCTCTTTTCATGTGACATCCCTTGTGTGAACTTGAGTAATGGTGTCACAGCAGCTGCTGAGGGTGGGGTGCCTCAGTGCTTGTATACAGTTGTCATTAGAGCCCCTAGGGTAGAGAATCATTAGCTCCTGGTGAAAGAACCCCACCATGAAAACCCTGTCACAGTGGACATATAGTGCTTATTACTATTATACTATTTAATACTTTAAGCTAAAATAAAACATGTGGATCCACACTGCGGGCAGACCTACCCATTGCTAGGCAACATGATGTTTTCTTGTCTAAACTCGTCGGTTTCCATAGCATCCAAGAACTCATTAATTCATTATACACACCAGATCTGCAATGTTTTGGAGGTGACCTCAAGAATGGGATGCTTGTATTTGTATGTTTATGAAGTATATGTAGTACACAGTCTCACCTTGCAATTAAAGTATACTAAAATCATTCACTCTACATGATCCTCCATGTTCAGCCATTTACACAACACAAAGCAAATTAATAAAGTAAAACTGGTCCAGTTACACAGGGGGGAGGGGGGGACTGAAGCAGGAGGAAAATCAGGTCATTCTCTTGCAGACAAATGAGGCTTTTAATTAAGTTAAATGTTATATGTTGACCTTTGAGTTCTCTGTCTGTGAATATGTACAGTGTTAAAATGTACGTACTGACCAGCAAAGATGGGGCAGAGCTTGGCCCAACAGGTAATCCCTCCCTCAGAGGTGTACTGGCCCAGTGCAACCTCAAGGAAGAACACAGGTAGGCCACCCCCGAACAGGAAGATGAAGTAAGGTATGAGAAATGCACCTGTGAGATGGACACAGGAATCAACTCAAAGTAATCGTCCTGCTATAGTCGCCATGTTTTGGCTCTGGTTTCTGTGTTTTCTTCCTACCTCCACCATTTTTATAACAAAGGTAAGGAAACCGCCAGACATTTCCTAATCCAATGAAGCCTCCTGCCACAGACAGGACAAAGTCGAGCTTACTGGCCCACTTCTCCCTCTGGGGAGGCTTGCCTTCGGCCTCATCCTCTGGTCGTGTCCCTGGACTCTTCCCTGGTGATGGTTTTAGAGTATCCTTGTGAAAGTCCTTTAGGCTTTGGAGCTTTTCTTTTTGTGTCATGCTGTGGATAGCAAAAGGAAAATGGGCATGTAATATTTTGGTTATATTCAAACTGTGTATTTAATATGCATGCTGATATTTGTACAGCCAAACAGCAAGAAATATCACCTTGTGGCCACTTCTGCATATTCACATTAGTGTATGTAGCACTCTGTTTTCCAACTTAACTCAGTGTCTGTGGGTGTTTTTTTTTTTATCCTCAGAGGGGGACACATTGTCACATTGAAGGAAGAGGAAGGGAGTATTCGACAATACATGCCTTTAAGAGCTTGCCCTCTTTTTGTCTTTACCTCCGCCAAGGGTGGGGGTAATGTTTTTACTGCTGTTTGTTTGTTGGATGGATTGTTCAAAGTATAATTCAAAAGTTAATGAATTCATTTTGAGCCCTAGCGGCTGCATCTGCTTTCATTTCCCATAGAAACAGGATCTGACTTGTTAGTGTGACCCTCACATGTATAGAAAGAGACTGCACACTAGAAAAAAAAGGACCAACCACACAGGAATGAGCTTTACTGATCTGAAAATGAACTGACTTTTTAGCTGCCTGATAACTAAATAAGAATAGGAGAGCAGTAGCTTGTTGAGGGAAAAAGGAAAACAACTCAATGGAAAAGTGATTAAGAGGTAACACTGTTTTATTAGATGTGTGAAGTTGTCCTGTGCTTAATCACTCTTTTCCCTGCAGAAGTGGATGGTGACCCAGATGACTGATCAGAAACCACCTTTATAAAATGTTGATTAAAATGTTGAAAGCTAATCTGTCAAAACTGCAGTGTGTACCACCTAAAATCACCTATTTGGGCACATTCACAGCAGGAGGCAAGTCCCTTTCCCTAAGGGACAGACCCGGCCATAACAAGGAAGTTCAAAAATGTTCCAAGGCCCCTTTTAAAGAAGCAACTCAGGAGCTTTGTTAAGTGCTGAACTTTTAAGAGTCATAATGTTACCAAAGGAGATTGCTGTTGTCATATGTGAGGTTCACACTAACAAGTCCTGTATCTAGGGGCAATGCAGCAGCGGACTGCAGCAGCGGATGCAGCCGCTAGGGCGGCAGCTCAAGAGCAAGTTATCTGCTCACCTCTTTTCCTTTCACAGCTGTACACAGAAATAACTCCATCTTCTTCTGCAGATGGCTCTGACATGCAGTCACAGGCAACACCAGAGGAAAAACAACAGTGAGCCAGTATGCAGCTTCACCAAGGCTTTTTTTCTGTTTTTGTTGACCAGTGGTGTAAGAAATGTGTAACATGTGCAGCGCACAATACAAAGGGAGGTTTCCACATGCCAGCACAAAATCACCCACCTGCAAGCACACCTTTCCAAAACATCATGTTTGACTTCACCGAACTAAATCAATGTGAAGGAAAAAGTACTGTCTCACAATATGTTGTATGTTCAGTAAATAGGTTGAAATGAAATTATCAGGTTTTCTTCAATAATTTTAAAACTACGAATGTCAATGTGATTCCAAGCGTTAGATGTTGATTTTTCTGGTCAAGGAATCATGTTGTAATGTAGCCCAGCTTGAGGAAGGAGCTGGACACGGAAGTTGTCTTTTAATTCTTTAATTTTACACACACACACACACACACACACAGGCAACTGCACCAACAACCAGAACACTGAATATTCCCTGCCAACACCAAACTAAAGGGGCATTATGGGGGTTCCCACCAGGTGTCTCTCCACCCCCAATGCTACAATATTATGAGGGTCAAACTATCATTGGAACATTGCTTTTAGGTGTAATGGCATTATGGGAAAACTGAACTGCCATGACAGAGGTTTGCAGTTCTTTAATGCTACCACATTAGCAATAAGACTCCTTGTGCTTCCAAAGCCCTGGCTGCGCTCCCAAAGTTACAACAGCTTAAGTTCAGTGTTTACACTGTAAACTACCCTTCCAAGACAGAGCATTTGTTATTATTGACTGGGGAATCCCATTTCCTTGCATGAGCCAAGGAGGAGATAAGGAATCCAAACATGACAGGAAAGACTATTTAAGACATGTCAAGACTAAATGAGTTTTAAGCTCTGAGCTGTCAACAAACAAAAGACAGACAAGAAAACAAGTTGTACGGAGCAAAATCATTTGTAATACGGTTGAGAAAGGTTTCCTCTTTTTTTTTTTTTTTTTTTGGCAGAACAACTTCCTCAACTTTTGTGGCCCTGAAAATATATTCAGACTGACTTACTGACATTCAAATAAAAGAAGTTGTAAAGAAAAGAGTCACACATGAGTTTTGCAATTTAACAACTGACAGTAATAACTGGAAATTAAAATGTATATTACACACATAGAGGACCAACTCAGTACAGTTAACTCAGAACTCACAGTGATAATAACAGCATGAATGGATGTCTACCAACAAGACCATATGAAGCCCTCTCACTCTCCTGCTGGAAACTGTGTGTTTGCTCACCTAATCAATGCTTGAACAAATAACCCTTTATCCCTTTATGTGCACACCACCGCATCACTTTGTAAGTTTTCTCTCTTCCTGTTATGTTTGACAAGTCAACTTGAACCGCTTTTCATTCTGAAACTTTCTTATATAACTGCATCAGTTCTTGTCCACTCTGTTTGTTTTCTGTTTCCCTGTCTCTCTTTTCACCCCTTTTACATGAGTGTGCTCAGCAAATGCTTTCACCTGCCTGCACGGTGTAAGGCAGCTGTTTGTTATAACTTAATGCCAACTTTCCTTATGATTCAATCCAGTTATACTTTACCGGAAATTACTTTCTGAAAACATCTCAGCATCACTGATTATCATTCTAAATAAATTTCTACTTCATCATTATGAATCCAAAAAGACATACAATGAAACTCTTACTGTATCAGCTGAAACACTAATCTGCTTTACATTTGACTATTTTAAACCAATTCATCCAGAAAAACTCATGCATTCTTTCCAGCAAAGCAATTCAGAAAACTTACATTTCCTTCATGGCTGCGACTGTTCATAGAGTTCCTCTCTCTCAGCTGTCACCATTCCTCTGTACTGAACGCCTTTGTGCTGATACAGATCACAAGAAGTAGAGCTGTTAGCAGGACCCGCCCCTTGGCTAGACTGTTAAATCCAAAGTGGAAATTGGACACAGTCTGGCTGTGACATACCACTCAGGTACCAACGTGAGAGACAGTAAATTTCCACTTCCCTCTACCCTTCCTTGCCCACAAACACACACACACACACACACACACACACACACCAAGTTATGTCGGAAGAGGGTGTCACTCGTGCACATACACAAGCACACACTTCTTATTTATACTGGAGACACAGAGGACCAGTCAGAAGAGAAAAAAGGCTGGACTGGTCCAGCAGTGCATTTGGTCTTGTACAAATGGATGAACTAAAGGCAGCACTGAGATTCTCTTATAACAGGTTATCTAGGACACAATAGCTGATAGTGAGGCCTAATAATATGTTTCCTCTGATTGACCATGCTCTGTTCAGGTTCCAGTCACTATACTCCAAGAGCTCACAATGGCCAGACAAAGGCTGGCAGGCAAGAGTCAGTTAAAAACTGGTCAATTCTTCTGCGGGATTTAAATTGGGGACAAGGAGCGGCTGATGACAAACAGCACACACACACATATACACTTTGTCCCTTCTAATGACACAATACTACATCATATTTTGGTCAGTGTCAAGCTCTCTATACTATTTTGGCAATGTAACATTTGACAGATGTCATCTAATTTGTTGTATGAAAGACAGAAAGAAAGTTAGTGTGATGTTTGATAATAACTCAAACAACTCACAGGAACCCAGCAAAAATTATTTGGTTATTGTTTTATTTATTGTCAGGTGACGCTGCACTGTCAGCTTGAATCTGTGCAAATCGTAGCTACACTGTTTAGTCCTTCACCTTCAAACTACAGTTTTTGATAAGGTTTGCTTTTATTTTATGTTGTTTTCTAATATTTTATCTGATTTTTAGCTTAAAATCAATGCACATATTATAATGATCAGATAAGTGAGGAACAGATTTGTGTGCTTGTGATTTTTTTTACATTTTGTTGTGTTTTGACAAAGGATATTGCACAAATCAAGCAAATCACAGTGCCTGAAAGACAGTCAGACAAGAGGCTATTATTAATTTAGCTGATAAATAATATTTGTCTTGAGGTCTGAATGTCTTTTAGTTTAGTGTTAAAATAGGCTTACAGCTTTAATACAGTGGATGATCTACCATAAATGTTTCCAAATGATACAGGAGCTAATTTCATATAAAAAAAATATTAAGCCATGAACAGGGAGAGTCACATTTTCAGAATCATTTATGAAATAGTAAAATTATTCTGAATATTAATAAACCACGGTGACCCCTCAGGTTTTATCCTGCTGAGAGGATGGAATGGAGAATCAAAGGACACACATCGATCAGTCCTACACTGGATGGGGAAGAGACAGAAGAAGTAGATTAAGTCTGCGCCAGTAAGCACAAGGTATAAGCTAGCAAACACCTTAGTCAGCAGACTCTCCTTGGTGTAACGGACATTCTTTCCCTCATCCACTCATTCATTCAGTCATCCATTTAGTGGATAACTTCTGAGTGAATGTGGAATATGAAGGTGCACCTGGGGCCTGAAGGAGACACCACTATAGGACATAAAATCATTTTCCACCACATGTCGCTGTGAATCCCAGGCGTACCTGAACGCATCACAGCAGCACTCCAAAAAAACACACAAGATGCAAAAACTATAAAGGCCTTACCACACAGGAAAGCAGCTTAAAGGACAAAGTTTTGTAAATATCCGAAATATAATTTACTCAGGTCGTTGGTTGCGCAGTTAGCGTGAAAATAACTAGGACATCATGTTTCACAAGCAGCATGTCTATAGTAAATAGGAGTGACATTTTTCTGAGACCATAAACCGATTCCCAATATTCCAGTAGATGGAGAAGAGGAACCGCCCCAGAAACCACAACATTTACAAGTAAAACCAACTGTCTTTTAAGGTCATGGCAGGTTATACAGTATTTATCATGGCCGAGTGCCTGTTTTCTATTGTTAATGTGTGACCTATTCTTTGATTACTGTGCATAGATTTACCACACCGTACACTCTGAACAGTTTGTCTCTCGTCAACATGCATACAGGGACCCACGCCCAAAAAGTTCAGTACACTGTATAACTCTAATCGTGACTGGTGCGCGACCAGTATCGCAGTTTGAATGGAAAATCACCAGCTTCTTCACGCAGCCGCTTCTTAAAGCCACAGTGTCCTTCCGCCCGTCCTTCACCTCATCCTCTAACGACCATTTATAATAAGCTTATGATTTACGTTTACTTGCAACATATGCCAACAATATTTTTGTGTGTATCGTTACTGATAAAGCATCATTTATATTGCAGGTTAGTCAGTCACTTGTGTAAGTGTTAATAAATCATTAATAAAACGTTCTGAAAACCCATCAAGAAAAACTACTACATCAATATAGTTTTGTAATTCTGAAATTATTTTCTCAGAAAAAAACTGAATTGTGAAAAGTCAAATTGGCAGGTGCATCACAGCCATGTGTTTGCATGTTATTTACTTAGGCAAAGTGTCTCTGTGAGTGTATCAGGATGGTTTCCACTAATACAAACCACAAGGTGCCTTGGGAGTGACATTCTCAATAAATCATCTTGTTTTTATTATGCAGGCAGAATAGTCAACTTTAACTATACTATTGTTTCAAAAACATGAAGTAAAGGCATGTTGACTAATATGGAAAATACCCAAAGCCAAGGGAGCTGTTGTTGTTGAACCAAGAATGATGCAATGCATTTAATTGTGCAATTTTGTTAAAGAAATATAGACTAATCAAATTACAAGATAGAATAGCATGTTTTTGTTCCTTATTTTTATGCTGTGTATGTTTTTACTTCCTCATTGGCCTTAGAAGCAACATCTCATGTCAATCTTCTAAAGCAAAGTGCATTTCAAACCTTCCAAAATCCCTTCAAGTTTGATGGTTTCATTCATTCATTTCATTCTCTGTCAGGACAACTGCTTTCTGATGCCTGAGGACAAAACGGCCAGGAAACAGGAAAGTGACTGAAATAAAAATGCAGGTTTGGATGCTCACTGTTTGTAAAACTGTAACTGTGACAAAAGTCACTTTGAATCTAAAGTAGCTGAACACACACAAGGGAAGTGAAAGCTTCATCTCTCTCAGAGACAGTCTTTAATATTCGCAAATGTTTCTGTGTGCCAATTTAAAGCATATAGCTAAAATGTTGCATGTACCCACTTCACTGTAAACAATCAGGTGGACTTCAGTGAGACAATTCATCACAGGTTTACAGCTTTAATCTTTGAGTTATAAGCTTCTGTTTCTGCTAAAACTTTACAAAAAGCTATGATTTTGCTGAAAATATGAAAATGAACTTAAAAGACCTATTGCATTGTCTTTTGCAGAGGTCTGTCTAAGGTCACATTGTAACAAGTTAATCCTGTCACATGTGCAGAGACTCCCCAGATCTGGATGTACAGTACTTTGGGTGGAGTACTGTATAATACACAAACATACAAGCTAGATATTCAGACATTTGATTAATAAAACAAAGTCTAAAATCACCCGTGCTGCAGCTAGAGATGCATTAATTCTGTGATTAAGGGCCAGATATATTTATTCAGCTTTCTCAGAGAGCTGGCTGTGTGTGACAAAGCTGACTAATATAAGACCACTGCTCACTCGCTTGTCTTAATACTTCATAGGGAGCCTGTAAGGCTTAATCCCATATTACTGTGACTATGTTAAGTGTAAGCATCTGACTACCACACACTTCCAAGAGGAGCCTCTATGCAGAGCAGGGAGACAAACAGAATTCCTGGTTGGTAAGTTTGAGCAGCAGTCAGTGTTTATGAAGCATCATCGGCCTGCTGTTTGTCTGACGTGACAGTGGAAATGTAGGGGAAAGTGACAAGCCGCTGACCCCCATTCATTTCAAGACAATCCTATTAAGAGATCTTCTTGGCGGGAACATGTCGTTCAGTATAGTGCATGTGTAGCCTGCCATGTCTTACATAATGGCTGGCTGGGACTACACGGCACTGGCCCAAGTCCTAAATCTATCTAAATACAATGTAAACACATGCTTTCTGTGGTGCGAAAACTAGAACATGCATCTATACAGTAGGTGGTGTGTGTCATGTTTTTTTTTTATGTATAACTGTAACTATGGAAGTATAAAGTGGGGTGTACAATGGAGTGAGAGAGGGAGCCACAGCTTTTCAGCTCAGTCTTTGGCTCAGTATAAGCTTACCACTCTCTCGATTACGCGGTAATCCCTAACCAGTAGCAAATTAGGATATTGGCAGTAACCGCAGCGGTGAGTAATGTCTCGTGGCACCTGTGAGCACATATCAATACTCAGGGTCAAGGTTGCAAATGCAGTTGCAGAACATAACTTCTATAAAGCGGATGTTATAGATGAAATCATAAAACACATATGTTCCAGTAATCACTACAGGTTACTTATTACTGCAGTGGCACAAGAAGCATTCAGACCCTTTATCAGTTAAAGTATGACACAATGTAAAAGACTGTACTGTAGCTATATTTTGTTTATATAGCTTTTTATTCTCATATGTTTTTGTATTTTATTTTTTAAACTATGTGTGTTTTCTGTTTCTTCCTCTTTTTAATAACAATATTAAATATTTGCATAGATTTTAAGCTAAAAGTAAAATGTGCAAAAGCTCAATAAAAAAGAAAATGAGGGACTGGGTCCAAACTTTATCTGGTGCTTTTTTGAACCTGTTGTTACTGCAAACCAAACCTTCTGGCACTTCTGACCTTTATTGCCGGTATTTATTACACTGCACACCCAGGTTGATAACTTTAATGACAGCAGGCTGAAGAATGAAGCAGAAAACAGCTGTTTCTCCACTTGTGTGTGAAATTTCTGGCATTGCGCATTCCTGTATGAAGAGACAGACATGGTGGCGAGAGTCAAGAGCCAAGGGATTTGAAACTTTTATTCCCTCATCAAGATTTAAAAACAATTTGAGAAAAAAGCCCATTGAAATAGTCAGTGCATGTTTTTTAGAAATGGACACTTGACAGAAATACGAGTCACATCTTGGACAGCGAGATCCAAACTAATAGTTTAATACATGTCAGTGTCCTCTGTAAAGGAGGCTCAACGTGATTCGAGGATATTCCAGCACACATGCCAATATGGTGTAATCAATTTGAAAACAAAACAATGATTTCAGTGGCAATTACTGTATAATTGTTTGGTGTGTGTCATTATCAATATATGTAATAGATGGATTTGATGTCACTGGTAAGAAATTTCATGACATCATACCAAGATAAACCAATTTAAGGCAGCTGAGAAAGACAACTGCTATTAAAAACAAAGACTGACACTGATGTTAAAACCTTTAAAGGTAGGGTTGGCAATTCCTTCCAGAACCAATTTATGTTACCTTTCCTGAAATTCTCTTTTCAATGAATACATTAAATGCATTGACAACATAAAAAAAAAAATCCGTCATCTGTGGCAGCAGCAGGGCTGAAAGAAGCCTGGCCAGTAATTTTACTCATCCCAAGCAAAACCATTGGATGGCCTACCTGGCTGTTAACCTAACTTCCTACTTGCACACGCTCTGATTAATGGTTTGAGAGGCTCCTGTTTTTGCCGCTGTGCCAAGAAACACACTGACAAAGATCTGTCTGTCATGTTAAATGACAACAAGAGTTGTGTAATCAAGGTGGGGAAAACAAGACTCATACTATGGCTAGACAGCTAGGCAATATAAGGCTGCGCTCGGGCACAGTGGTGCTAACACAGTGGAGTTAAATGCTAACACGTCTTCACTCTAGCATGCTAACATTTCTAATCATCACTAAGTGGCACAACTGAGCATGATGTGAATGTTGTTGGTTTTGGAGGCATTTTTTTTGTCATACACCAAAGAGATTATTCCCAGAATAAGTAAAAACCTGATGTCCAATGCTGACATTGATGTCACCTGATGGTGGTGCTAAATAAAAATTCAAGTTATTTGAGTTATTTGACATGAATGTCTGTGCCAAATTTCATGCCACTTCATCTAATACAATTTTTGCAGTTACATGAACGAGTCGGTGGATCAGAGTCTTTAAGACTGATCCTCTGGGTGTTAAATACATCATAAAATTATATTCTATGCAACTTCAAAATAAGAGTTATGAGTTAAAATATTTCTGGATGAAGAAAGTGAATAAGCTTCTTTAACTCACTTCTTAAGTGTGAGTCAGTACATAGCATAGACTCCTTTAACTTTATTTTAGCATCAAAATATAACGTTATGATATTCGATTTAAGTTTCTTGGAGTCAAACCACATTTTAAAAGAGCTAAATAACAAGCAAATCAAAGTTCTAGCAGCTAAAATAAATGCATGCATGTGCAAGGCAAAAGTATTCTGTTGTAAATATATAACACAATTTCCAGAGGAACAGATGACACTTAATACCAAATATCTTTTCTCATATTATGGTATGTCTCATTCAAACAAGCTTTAAACATCCATCATGAACAACTGTCTTTGAACATGCCCCTGTAACATCAGAACCAGCTACATTCTATTTATATATTCTGAGCAATATACTGTAAATAAAATAAAACTTGACATACAGAAGCATGATTTTTCTTTTCACTTCTTTGTTTCACTCTCCAGATGTTTGTGCCACCATATGTCATCCTTTCAGAGCATCCTGGCTTCACATTCAACTGCAGCTACAGCCACAAACCTCCACCTGTCACTCCTTCAGCAGTCAATATTAATGCTGGACAGCAGCTCCTCCAGGGCCTCCAGCTTCTGATTGGCCTCCCCAATTGCACTGTAAGTTTGCACATTGCTGGCAATGTGGTAGCGGATGTCGTCCACCAGGGGGACAGAATCGGTCTCGTGTCTCTCCTCCAGTGATGCAGCGTCCTCCTTGACGATCTCGGCAAACTCGGCCTGCTCCACCAACTGTAACAGACAGATACGACTACGGCTTGGTATCGTTTGGATTATTTTCTGATAACGGTGCTAAAATGACACTTTAAAAACCGTGCCTGTGCCTAAACGGCACCAGAACTGATACTTTAAAAAGAAACATAAAACCAAGCCATAAATTTCACAACTTGAAGGGCAAAGCCATTTGGCCATCAATCTTATACATTTCTGGAGGGCACAAAGGCAATTTGACTGGGCACTAAGGCTGAGACAAATGAGGCAATGTGTACGTGTACATGACTTATGTATACAGCCTGAGCAGTAAAGTTACAAACTAGAGTTTGGTGTTCACAACATGTTGTGTTTAAATTAAAGAGCAGATGCTTGTAGAATGGCTGAAGGGAATTTGTAGAGATAGTATAGTAACTGTGCACTTTATTATAATTTGGACAGTAAATGGTGTTAACGCATTTAGAGGTAAATGGAACACAGCATAGGTGTAATGACAGCATCGGGAATGGCACCGGGTTTCAGTATCCAACCCTGGATACGACAGGTACACAGGTGTGAATCCATCCTGAGAGGGAACCAAGCAAGGCTCACTAGAAGGTCAGGAAAACTGGAATCTATCAAAAACTTTTATAACATGGCCTCAGAGGTTGATCTCTTTTGGCATAATGACAATAATTTATGTATAAGCAGCTGAGTACAAACCAATAATGAATATTTAGTAACATCATGCCTTTATGTTACATGCTGTTGTTTGAATTTATTTTTTGAGTGCTTTATTTCTAGTACTGCAATATTTTTACTTTTGAAAACTTGTGGTCTGGCCTGGTACTGTATGTATAAAGCTGCTCAATGAGAACAATTAAGCTGCTTAAAATAAGATTTTGGTCATAAATGCAACTACATCCCAAAGTGACCAGGTGTTTTTTTAAGAACAAGTTAAGTTAATGCTCTACAGACATTATCCAAGGTATAAACATCAACAATAATACATATACAGTGAAGAAAGCATGAATTTGAAGATACCCCTAACATCACAACGCCCCCTGCAGTGTCAACACAAAAGCACAGGCACCCACCCGCTCAATGATTTTGGCCATGAACTCTGTGCACTGATCTTCCAGCCGAGAGAGACGGAAAAGCTTGGCCGTCTTCCACATGTACATAACGTTCTCTTCACATATAGTTTTAGCGAGCGTCTTCCCACACAGACGCTTCAGCCCAGGCAGCAGATACATGTCAGCCAAACACAGCACATCAAACACATTCTCCGTCGTTAGCTGGACAAAAAGACCAACAGGTAAGGTGTTGAACAATAATGATGTGGGTCAAAGAAACAATCCATTTGTTGTGTAAGGGGTTTCAGAATGAGAAGCACATGTTTCTGGTTGTTCTCAGTGAATGAATGAAGTCTGCATCATTGATCAACAATTCCACAAAATGATCCATTCAAACTTTGGGCAGAAAGTGTGCACTAACCTCTGTGGAATCAGTGTAGATGTAATACATGACGTGGATAAAGATTTCATGGGAAATATTGTGTAAAGTAATCACTCGGGTGCTGGGCTGGGACTGCAGCTCCTCTCCCTCACTGAAGTGATCCTCCAGTAGGGCTTTAAAGTAATCACTACGTCCACAGAAAAAAGCCTGGAAACACACACACACACACACACACACACACACACACACAGTAAAACTCTAATAGTCACTGGAGTGACAAGAGCTGGGCAGGGAGTAGGGGTCTGTAATGAGATCAAGGAATGTTGGGGTGTGTACCTTATGACACAAGAAATTGTAACCATCGACTCTGAAGCAGATGTCAGGATAAGTAGGGAAGCAGTCGACTCTGTCAAAGGGAAGTTCTCCAAATCCAACCTGGGAAGAATCACCAAAATGCTCGTTAAATCGGTCAAAACAATAGCATCTATAGTGTGCCACAATTCTTATTTTTTTGTCCTGTGCCTGCCCTTACTCTTAGTTCAGTGGGCACTGCACAGTCTGCTAACTGAGCCATCTCCTCTTGAAGCTGACAACTGTGAGGCTCCAGGCTGAGAACTTTCACACAGATTCCCGGCTTGTTGGACACTTCAGGATGAAGAAGAGAAAGAGAAAGAGAGCGACAGACAGAGATAACTCCTGTGGAAAAAGTTCATCACAGCTCCAGAAATATGGTGAAGAGTTCTGTTTAAGTATGCCAAGTCCATTTGGAAAAAAAAAAAAAAAACAGTAATGATCCATGTATTACCAGTGTAAAGCTTAACCAGGAGTACTGTCTTACCGAATTCATACAACTGTTTGCATTTATTCTCCAGCTCCTCTATGAGATCTGCCATCTTGCACTGTTTAGCAAGACGTCTGCAGTCCTCCACAAGGCTTATATCAATGTCCATTCGTCCTGTAACATCAAGGGGAAAAAATGTATGGATGAAAGGACCTGAAGGTTTAGTTACACTCGTACCTTTTCATTCAATGTACAAACTCACTGTAAAGGCCTTGTCTTGTCTCACTGGCTTGCTAGCATTCCTAGTTAAAGACACATTGCGGAGTTTGTGGTAACCTAACCTCATGTTTACATTCAGTTTCTCACCAAAACATTGCATTTGTTCTTGAAGACTAACAAAAGTCATTGTCTCTTTCTTTATAAAACATTTGCAAACACAATTTTTGAAAATTTGCTAGTTATCAGTCTTCCTAACTAACTTCATGGTCGCTTCATGTGCTTTAGAAATGGTAAAAACCTGCATACAGTAGGTCTTCTTTTTTATTATTAGTTTTCATTAAATGTATTTGAACGTGCTTAAACTATCGCATTTTTAATTTGTGTGTTTTTTTTCAAGGTGACAATAAAATATAAATAAAATGAGGATCATAAAAACTCTAAAAGCTGTTATCTGAGCAGAAGCTGGAATATCTGTTGCTCAAATAGACACGCACCTGTATAGAAATATTGTAGAATGGCTCCAAAGGCTGCAGGGTTGATCTGGAATCAAAACAGCTTTAATCCATATACACAACTGGAAAATAGATGTGACAATGTAATAACTATGGAGACACAGCAGAATTCAACCACAATATATACAATATTGATCTACCAAAGGGTGTTTGAGGGTGATCAAGCTCTTCCCTTTCCATTTGGTCTCAAACATTTCAGTGAAGTACTCTGAGCGTGCACTGAGGATGCAGCGGTGAGCTGGAAATGTTTGACCATGAACCAGGAAATTGACATCATTGTGTTGACCCTGCTCCAGTAACCTAAAGCAAAAACACACAAAGGCTTGGATTAGGTTAATGTACTGCAGGAGTGGTTTTACACACAAATTATAAAAATCTATGACACTGTCCTTTGTACATGAATAGTTAATCCTTGACCCTTACGTGTGCAGAAAGTAGTTAAAATCATCCCGTTGCATGGCACGGACACTGACACACTTATAATCTTTGAGCAGGCGTCGAACAGAGTCATTTAGGGAGCCGTACATACACCTCTCACCATCAAATGTGTTGGCTTCACACTTGGCGCCTGAAAGCAAAAAATAAAAGCAGGGGTTATACTATACTGCACATCACTGTATGTATTGCATCACTTAAGCCTTTATTAAGTTTGTGTTACTTAAAAAAGTAACAAGCACTTGCTTACCACTAGCCAACAGGTACTGGACCAGCTCCTCGTGGCCACAGAGACAGGCATAATACCTGGAAAAAGTTTCAACCACTTGATAATGATGCTGTCTTAGTCCTGACACTCTGACTATTCTCTGACTATTTTCCTAAATTATACTTACAATGGGGTGCTATCCCACATATCTCTTACATTGAGGTCCACATCTCTTTGTTCAACGAGGTATCTTAGAGAGAAAAGAAATGAGTGGTTAAAGCAGTATACTACATAAACTAAGTGCTCAACACACTGTATACATAAAGTTTTATTTGAATTTAAACGGGTGCATGACACAGGAGCATTGTTTGCTCCTATTTATAAAACTGTGGCAAAATGGAAAAACAGGCAAGACGCATTGTTCACACAGCTGTATAGATATCAGTGTTTACTGCTGCATTTTTATTTTCAATATGTCATAAACTACAGTCACTGAAACTGATATTTTTTTGTGGATATGAAACATATCTTATATTCTGCACCTGGAGAAATATACTTAACTAGTTAATTAAAACTCTGCATGGCGCTGACTTGTATTGTTTTGACTCATTGCTGCTCTCTTGAGAATTAGCAGCACATGCCAGTATGTCACAAAGCAGAAGAAATGTCTTTCACACATCAGTCTGACTGATATATTCTCCGCATAACATCCGACACCAGTAGCTTAGGAACTGAGCTACAAATCCAAGCTAAAGTTACAGGGTCTGTCATCGAGGCTAACGTTAGCAACCGTGCCTTCCGTGTTTACCTCCGATGCAGTTAGCATTGGGTTTAGCTGCAACACTGCAGCCCAGAGCAGGCCAAATAAAGGCTAACGTTCTGAGAGACGGGACTGAGGAAAACTGAAGCTAATAATGTTAACTGCAACAATGTAGAGTAAATCAAATAGGCCTTTAGTACGTGGAAAAAAGACACCGAAACCCAAATAATGTCAGCTGAAAGGCTGCTTACCTAACTCTACAAGTGTCGCCCTTTCTGCAGCTACTAAACAGATCGTGCACATCCATGATCCCCTCGGTGTTTTCGGTCCTCTGTAATGCATTGAGACGGCCTGTCTACCGGACAGGTGAGCGATGATTTGATGTTGCTTCAAAGTTTGCTGGACAGACGCTGAGGAAGCTTGCTAGCTATTTCACTTTGACGCACAGCTGTTGATGGGTTGTTTGGTTCCTCTGTTTTGGTTAAGAGCTCCAGCTGTCACGTGACTAGATGGGCTATATCACAGGTTATACAGAATAGCGGAACACTGAGAGGCTGCACAAGATAGCAGTGGTTCTGAGTTATTTACCACGTTTTATTTTACGTCATATGAATAACCATTGTATTTCACTACAACTGCAGTTTGTTGACATTTCTACTCGCAGGCACGTGACTTGAATGAGTAACAGTTTGTGGTAATGGTCATAAACTTTGAATATCGGAGACTGTAAGGCAGCGTTGAGGGTTTACATTACACATTGTACTTCCTGGTTTAATTGGTAAGTATGTATCATGCGTTCCTATTGTAGGCGTTACCCTAACAAATTTTTTCAATTCAATTTATTAATTTTTTTTGTTGGGGTTTTTTTTTTATAACGCATTTCATCCACATTTTCCCAGCGACGCCGCGTTTAAGGTAACGGTACTTTCCGCTGTTTTCACAATGTGCAGCGTAGCTAGTAGCTACTCTTCACAGATTTCAGCGTAGGGAAGTACAGTTTATTGCACTGTAAGCCAGTTTTAACTGTTTTATTTAAAGATATGAATCACAACTCCATGCATGCGATCGCACGGAGAATGAGTCCAAATTGTTAATTATATTTTACGTTTTCTCACAACAGTGATTTACAAAATGGACAAAGATGCTGTGTTGACCCATATCAAGAACTCAAAGGGCATGTCGACTGTTCTTGGTGGAGAGCTGCCTGTCAGTGTGATAAACAACAATAAGTACATATCCCCACTGACTTCTCAAACTCAGGTGACAGACAGAGATGTAGACGACGACAGTCTGATCTCCCTTGATCTTGCCATCCACACAGCTCTGTCTCGGGAAAGCAAAACAGTTGTAGTGGCCGGTCCAGAAGGATCAGGTAAAACCACTGCACTGGAGAAGCTAGTTGTGGATTGGGCTAAAGGAGAAGGCCTTCAAAACTTTTCTTATGTTTTTTATTTCCGGTTCAGGGAACTGAAGTTTCTTGAAGGGACACTGTCATTGGAGATGTTAATGCAACACTACCACGGTCATATCCCTCCTGAGTCTGTCCCCCTAGTCCTGCAAAAGCCCGATGAGGTGTTGTTTGTTTTTGATGATCTGGATCAAAGCCGAAGCAGCCTGGACCCCTCCATCCACACCCTCTGCTCTGACTCCAGCCAGGCAGCCTCAGTGCCCTGTTTATTGGCGAGTCTGCTTCACAGATCGCTGCTGAAAGGAGCTTCCTTTGTGGTAGCAACAAGGCCGACAGGAAGTCTGGAGTTTCTGAAAGGCACCTGGGTAGAAATGTTGGGGTTTCTGAAGCCCCAAAGAGAGACTTACTTTAATGGGTTCTTTACTGACCCAGCTGCTGCCAACAAAGCACTAATACACATGGAAAGGACACTGGGATTTTATGATTTCTCTACCTCTCCTAGATTTTGTTGGACAGTTTGTTCTGTTTACAAGTCTCTGATGAATGCTGGGGCAGAACTCCCTGAAACATTATCTCAGCTGTATGTAGAGATCCTTGTCCACCTAATTCAGGCACTCTCACTGAGCGAAGCCTGCAGCAGAGAACTAGTATTGGCCCTCGGCAGGATTGCTTTGTGTTGTTCTCTTGATCAGCATTCAAGGTGCACCAAAGAGGAAATGAATTTCTTTGATTTTCAGCAGTTTCTTAACTCAGTTGATGTTTTCTTGCAAGTAGATGGTGACCTGGAGTCAGATACATGCGTCTTCTCCTTTCACTCCATGCTGATGCAGGAGTTCATCTTGGCTGTGTCTTTCTTTTTGGACAAATCAACATCTGAGGGAGTGGAGAAGATGTTGGAGAAGCACAAAGGTCATGCAAAGTTTCTAGACCTCTTCTTGTCAGGGCTCTTAGAGCCACTTCAGCGCAGACCGCTGGAGACCCTGCTCGGGGAGTTCAACTCTGATAGAATTATGGATTTCAAACACTGGTTTTTAACCAGCTTAGAGGCAACACTGAAGGGATGTGACAAAGACGAGCACAGCCACTACTTTCAACTGCTTCAGCAAGCTCAAAGTAAGAGTTTGGTGAAAGAAATTACCACTCCATCAGCACTGGGATTCAGCTATGCCCCCCTGAGCCTTCAGGACTGTGTAGCTTTGAATTATGTCATCACGTGCCTCGGTGAGATGGAGCAGTTGAATCTGTTCAGGATATTGAATTTGACAGAGGAGAAAGCAGAAGTCCTGGCTCCAGCTATGAGCCTGTCATGTAAGATAATGTAAGTCATGGCAACGATTCAAATTCCTAGGTACCATTCATTTTGTCATATATATCATCATATGTTGTTTCCTCCAGTTTGACATACAGTACCTTGAGTACTGGGGCTGTCTCTCATCTGGCTTCAGCTATCAGCAGAGGAATCACCAAGGAGCTGGATCTCAGTAATACCGGACTTACAGATGACATCTTCAGCATTCTGTGCACTGGCCTCAGAAGCTGCAAACTGCATAGATTAAAGTAAGTTGAACTGAAGGGCATTCATTTAAATGTATCTTTATGTCAACAGACACTTCTCAAAGGCAAGAAAACAATCAGTTCAATCAATATGTATTTTGATATGTTGTTTTTGATATACTCAGTGTGGGTGGGTGCCAACTGACGAGCGGTGACGATCTGATGGTGGTGCTGACCTCACCCACCTCTCACCTGTGTGTGTTAGAAATGAGGTTTAATCAGCTCGGGGACCAGAGCTTCATAAAACTGTGCAAAGCACTGCATAGTCCTCACTGCAAACTACAAGAGCTTGGGTATGTACTTTAAATAGTGAGTGCAGTATTATATAAAAAAGGTCTGGTGTTATACCTGTCTCTTTATGTTTAAATCATAGAACTGAAGGTTTGAAAAATGGCCTTTATGTTGTTGATTAAAAGGCTACAAAGGTGCGAGTTGACTGCAGCATCCATGGAGGCTTTTTCAGCAGCTCTGTGTTCGGGCCAGTCACAGCTCAGAAAGGTGAACCTTACAGAAAACACGATTGGTGACAGTGGAGTGGAGGCTTTGTGCAAGTCTCTGCAACACCCACTATGCAAACTGCAGAGCCTCAAGTAAGTTTCTGTTTCAGCTTGATAAACCTGCAGCCACTGCCTTTCTTTGTGTGTGTGGCATGACTCACAAAAGCAATAACAGTGTGATAGTTGTCATTTATCGGCAAAAGTCAAGTCAAGAATCTTTATTGTCATTATGCGTAGCACAACAAATTTTTGTCCAGCAGCTCTTGGCTTAAAAGACACATTATTTACATAACACAAAATTGTATAAGTCACTATAAAAAATAAGAACAAATAAAAAGGGATGTATGGGACCTAATCCGGTCAGCAGCATGTTAGCAGCAAAAGAGTGTAGTAACATTATAAGCTGCAGCTCAGTGCAAATCTCAGTCTTTAGGAAGAGGTGTGAGCATGGGTGTGTGTCTACAGAGGTCCAGTATTTTGTCTGTATCTGTCCATAGGGGGGAGGTTGTGTGTGTGTGTGTGTAACTAGGGGTTAGGGGGGGTGATTGATTTCACAGCTCTGGGGAAGAAGCTGTGTCTCAGTTTGTTTTAGTTTTTATATTCCTCTACCTTTTCCTGGAGGGAAGAGGCACAAACAGACAGATACTGCTAAATGTCCATCAACTCTTTCAGTCCCAGGCCAAACACTACAGTGTAGCTCATTACAGAACAATAATCCAAATAGTCAGTCACATCTGGGGTTTTGTTGTTTGAACATGCTCACATGTCGATTGGATTATCAGAACAACACAGACAGAGGGGTAACAACCAACCATGATGACTTATTTTGCTCATAAGAACCAGGGCTATTAGTGAGATTTGATAGTGAGATAGACCAATTGATGATTAAATCTCACTTAATCAGTGGGCGGGGCACTGCAACTCTGCTGGAACTGATATTGTAACCTTTATATCCAGTCTATTAGATGTTGTATTTTACTTTTATTTCTCTGTCTAGCCTGTTTGGTACTGAGATGACAGGTGCATGCTGTCGCCATTTGATGGAGGCCTTGATGTCAGAGCACTGCTCTCTGACAGAGCTGGATCTGTCAGTGAATGATTTGGGCCAGGAGGGGGCACTGCTGCTCTGCCAAGCCCTTGGTCGACCTGGATGTCCTATAGAAAAACTTGAGTAGAGTCACCTGTAAATTACCACCTTTCACAAATACTTGGCGAAATTCCGATAACAGCATTGATGTATAATCTGCTCCACCTTACAGGCTGGCACGATGTGAGTTAACCCAGTCTGTCTTCAAGGAACTGGGCTCAGTGCTGAGAAGTGGGACTTCTCAACTCAAGTCGCTGACTGTAGGTTTAAATGAAGTAGGAGACCAAGGAGTTAAACATCTCTGGGATGCCGTCGCACATCCACACTGTTTGCTAGAGGAACTGGAGTGAGTTGACAGTTGACTTTAAAAACACAACCCTCTCCTTATACCATTCTTATCATCACATTGCAGTGTGCACTACATGCAGATCTCTCCCCTCCTCTGTCATAGTGTTGAAATGACTGGTTTGACAGATGTCTGTGTTGAGGACGTGTGTGCTGCTATAACAGCCAGTAAGACTTTGAAGAGTTTGGAAATGAGAAACAACATGCTGACTGATGCTTCTGTCCCAGCCCTTGTCAAGGTCATGCAGGACAGCGACAACATGCAGGAAATGAAGTAAGCATCATTCAAATCAGTTCATTACAAACTTGCATGAGCCAGCATACTTTACATATTATTTGGAAAAGGGGATTTGTAAACAAGAACCCAACCACTGCTTTTGTCTCTGACTCTTCCAGCCTGAAGTACAATGACTTCAGTGAAGATGCTTTTGACCTGTTGGAAGAGTGTGATAAAATAAGATACTGAAGAAGGTGGATTAGTCCAGCCATCTCACGGACTGCTACAAGATCATAAGTGGAGCTGACGTCATTAATCCATTTGTAAATTGGCAGAAAAATATAAGGAAACTATTTAGATAATCAGTTAACTGTTGAAATAAGCAGAAATGGCACTAGGGCACATTCACTGGCTCCAGTTTCTCAAATGTTAGTGTGTTGCTTTTCTTTTTCTTCTATAAGTAGATTAAAATCTGTATTAGTTATGGGCTGTTAATAATTCATCCATTATCTATACTGCTTATCCTGAAAAGGGTCAAGGGTCAAGTTTGTGGCGATAGTGCTAACCACTGCGCTTTCCCATTATCTATAATGCTTATCCTGAAGAGGGTAGCAGGGGGGGCTGGAGCCAATCCCGGCTGACACTGGGTGAGAAGCGGGGTCCACCCTAGACAGGCTGCCAGTCTATCACAGGGCTGACACTTGGAGACACGACCACACACACACACACACCCACTCCTATGGGCAACTTAGATGGACTGTTAATAATCTACACAGTAACTGATAGTAAAAACAATTGGCATTACAGTCATAACAAAATAAAAGTCCTTTAACACTTGACTCACTGGATTTGATTTAACATTTTATTAGGAAACCTTTGGTATTTTAAAGAGAGACATTTGGAATTTCTACGCTTACAGGACAGTAAGCAGTATATTCACACAGACAGATGCACCGTATTTTTATACAGTTGTAAAATATATTACCAGATTTATTAATTAAATCTATTTACATGTGTAAAATGAATTTTGACAGTTGCAGTGTAGATATGCACTCTTTGCTGCAACTACTAATGTTGAGAAAACACAGTGAGGTGCACAGACCACACATTTCTGTCTACTACTGTAAGCAACAAGCGTAAACCTCATACACTGTAAATCTGGCAAAGCAAGACAGTGCTAAGTCCAAACATGGACCTCCCCTCCAGCCAATCCTCTCTCAGTTTCGATATTTCAGCAAACTTAAGTGGGGGGAAAAAAAAAAAGACGAAGCATTCTCCCTTCTTTGGACTCAGCGGCCATGAGTTTCCCCATTAAGGTTACTGGTGTGACTGCTGCAAGTCTCCTCATCTGAGCTGCTCTCAATGTCACTACGGTCATCTTTTGCCACCTGTAAAATGAAACAAAGGAGAATGTTCTACTAAGAATAACAGGACTCTAAAGTCTACAGTTTTGTAAAGTGTACTGGTCAAGGTCAAAGGTGAAAGTGTTTATTTGTCATATGCACAGTTAGGAAACATGTTTCCCTGTACAATGAAATTCTTACTTCGCCGTACACATGAATGCCACAAAATACAAATGAAATATAAAGTAAATAAATAAGTAACACAAAATCTAAGGCACTTTAAGCAGCAAATGCAGCAATATAATAAAACAAATATAAGAATATAATAAGAATGTGTGCTGCATGGGAGCAGCATGTGCAGTAGTCAACAGTCACTGTGCAATTATGCATGTGCAAAATGAGAATGTAGTGCAGATGGAATTACTTGAGGTAGATCCTGAGTCAGCTGTTTAGGAGTCTGATGGCAGAGGGAAAGAAAGAGTTTTTCAGTCTAGTGGTCCTGCATTTCACACTTCTGAACCTCCGGCCAGAGAGTGGGGAGGCGAACAGTTCATGCAGGAGGTGGGTGGGATCTTTGAGGATGGAGGCAG